TGCCGGTAATATTCGAAAAAGATCGAAATTCGCTAATTGAGGTAACACAGGAAAAAGTTACGACCTATATGAACTTTTTATTGAGGTCTAATCAACCAATAATCAAGTTATTAATGACATGATGTTATGATGATATAATCGTATAATTAATTCATTTTGCTGATTGTGAAAATTGTACAGTCATCAGTTAGCTAACAACTTTTGATCTATTGTGAAAAATGCTGTGAATTGTGTCTCATAAACTTCGATTGTTGTGAAATCTAGTCGATTAAATCGCAAACAAGAACCGGGGATATCATCAATCATAGAGCCAAGTTTGCTAAACTCGTGAATGGGACTCAGGCCTTTTAAACTACTGCTAATGTTCCGCACTCGAGTAAAAAAACTCGGTCTCTGCGGCGTTAGTTCCGTACTTATGTATTTAGTTTCGAAAGAATAACTTTGGTAAAAGTTCGAGATCACGTTAGCAAAACTTCGAATTGAACAATGAATTGATTTATTCCAAATAAGTATTCGAAACTGTGTCATTTTTTCTGGAATATTAAACGTTTCACACTACATTATTTACTAAATTGTTCACGTCAGTTCACTTCACTTCATCGCCCAGTCATCTGAAGACAAGTTGATGAACCCATCCTACGGATTCTGTCATGTTTTTGCTTATTTCCTCCATTTCAGTAATAGGTTAGGTTAAGTCCAAAGTGACCAAACCCGTAGGGGTTTATTGTGGCTTACACCTATTCACACTCGACCAAATATACCCAGCTTCTTAACGAAACCAATTAGTTTCTATGTTGAGTGGTCTTTCAGGTCAGAGGGTAAGAGTACGGCTCTGCCGAACTCTAAAAACCTGATTCGGTCCCCAGCGGGGCAGGCACAAAGTATGTGCTCTGCAGTTTCATCATTTTCCAAACAGAGGCGACACACACTGTCTTTCGACAGTCCGAGTCTCTACAGGTTCTTTTCCGTAACTTGCAGCTTTTGCCATTATTCTGTTGGCCGTGCGGTTTCGAGGATTAGGAAATGACGTTTAAAAATTTGGGAGATTCCGAATGGTGCCGGTAATATTCGAAAAAGATCGAAATTCGCTAATTGAGGTAACACAGGAAAAAGTTACGACCTATATGAACTTTTTATTGAGGTCTAATCAACCAATAATCAAGTTATTAATGACATGATGTTATGATGATATAATCGTATAATTAATTCATTTTGCTGATTGTGAAAATTGTACAGTCATCAGTTAGCTAACAACTTTTGATCTATTGTGAAAAATGCTGTGAATTGTGTCTCATAAACTTCGATTGTTGTGAAATCTAGTCGATTAAATCGCAAACAAGAACCGGGGATATCATCAATCATAGAGCCAAGTTTGCTAAACTCGTGAATGGGACTCAGGCCTTTTAAACTACTGCTAATGTTCCGCACTCGAGTAAAAAAACTCGGTCTCTGCGGCGTTAGTTCCGTACTTATGTATTTAGTTTCGAAAGAATAACTTTGGTAAAAGTTCGAGATCACATTAGCAAAACTTCGAATTGAACAATGAATTGATTTATTCCAAATAAGTATTCGAAACTGTGTCATTTTTTCTGGAATATTAAACGTTTCACACTACATTATTTACTAAATTGTTCACGTCAGTTCACTTCACTTCATCGCCCAGTCATCTGAAGACAAGTTGATGAACCCATCCTACGGATTCTGTCATGTTTTTGCTTATTTCCTCCATTTCAGTAATAGGTTAGGTTAAGTCCAAAGTGACCAAACCCGTAGGGGTTTATTGTGGCTTACACCTATTCACACTCGACCAAATATACCCAGCTTCTTAACGAAACCAATTAGTTTCTATGTTGAGTGGTCTTTCAGGTCAGAGGGTAAGAGTACGGCTCTGCCGAACTCTAAAAACCTGATTCGGTCCCCAGCGGGGCAGGCACAAAGTATGTGCTCTGCAGTTTCATCATTTTCCAAACAGAGGCGACACACACTGTCTTTCGACAGTCCGAGTCTCTACAGGTTCTTTTCCGTAACCACTCAAATCCTATTCTATTTTTAATCTTTAATTGTTCAAATTTGGCAACTGGAGTTCCTACCAACTGTTATCATACCACAACCAATCCCTAAAAGAGAATAAAAAACATCTTTCAAAAAATTTTAGAACAGAAGATTTGATACTCTTTCCTTCAGGGTGATAAAGTGAAGAACCAACATGAAAGTGGTTAATTTTTTGACAGTTTAGTCAAATTGAAAGATCGCTAATTTGAGTTCCGCTATGTGGTATTATCAGGAGGTTTTCTTGTTCATGTCACAAAGGTAACGATTAGTTGTATCAAGAAACAACGTTTTCGGATGTATCTAAAATGATCGAACGTTTGTAGCACCGAAAAGTTGCCGCTTATACTTTGAGAGGCTGCTTTGAACTGCATTATCCACTAGTGAGCAAAGACAGCATTGCAAAAATTTGACTTTTTGTCGTACCAGAATTTTTTCCACTCCACAGCCGTTTCTAATGATCTCCATTGATAATAATGATAATATAACTTATCAATGAAATGAGAGAGAGATAATATATTCAGTGAATAAATATTTTTTTGCATAAATGATTACTACTCGATAAGAGAGCAAATAATTGTTAGGAGATGAAATTACCTTAAATAATCTTACATAAAGAGGAAAATGTATTTAATCCAATACAAGAACATTACGAAAAAAGGCGTCGCATCAGTTAAATCAGAGATAGAGTATCAGTTAAATCATGGCAAAGTTGCGTATTTTAGAGACCTGTTCAATGATCTAAAGAAATCGAATGTAGCCCTTTTGGTTCTGGAGATATACAGGAAAAACCAAAAAATCCCAAATAATTTTTTTGCCTATATCTTCTTTATTCGCAGACATATTGAAAATCTGTCCACATTTTGCTATTGGCACTTGATGTGGGCTATCAGAATATGTCCATGAATCTTTTATATAGCGTGTCATCTGACTTGGGCCACTCCCATCTTTGAAATTTTAAATACTAACCTGTATTCAAAAACTACAACAAAAATACAGGTCCGTATTTGAAAATTCAAAGATGGGGGTGGCCCAAGTCAGATGACAACCTGTATAAAAGATTCATGGACATATTCTGAGAGCCCACATCAAGTGCAAATAACAAAATGTGTGTCTTGAATACGTTTCGGATTTTAATCAAGTATCGGCCGATTCCATCACATAGATGTTATAAGACCAAAACACTAAATCATTTTATTTATCGCGTTAAAATTTCAAGTTTTTCAATGACAATCTCAATGACCACCATCACTGGCATAAGTTGACTTGGGTATCACACCAATAGGTGGTTCCACTTATGTCTCTCTTGCTTTTAAGCAGTTATTTTTAACAAGTACTGTTCTTGGCTCTTCACATGTTGCTTTCATCAATCGAGGACCGCCTGCCCGGTACTGACGATGCCCAACAGGCTGAAACAGCTGTCTACCGGTGGTTCTTTATTTGAAATCAGATTGGGAATGATCAGAATAGTAGTTACTTATCTTTATCTTTTGATTTTCATAAAATTATTTTTCAGCAGCTTGACTGCAATAACCTTCTTGATTTTATATAATTTCTAGAAATATGTGGATTCTTTGTCCGATGGCATTCCAGGAAAGCTTCCCAAATTTCTGCTAATGCAGTTGTCAGTTGATTGGTCACACCACCAACGTTGACATAAAAATTGCTGTCACACCAGTAGGTGTGACACTTATGTCTCGCTTGCTTTTGAGCAGTTATTTATATCAAGTACCATTCTTGGTTTTTCACATTTTGTTTACCACTCATCCTACTGATGAAAGACAGTTGAAAGGTTAAGAGAAAAAACCTGAAGAAAATGAAGATGACAGTATCACATTTTGTTTTCAATCGAGGACCACCTGTCCGGCACTGATGATGCACAACAGGCTGAAACAGCTATCTACGGGTGGTTTTTAAATTGAAATCAAATTGGGAATAATCAGAATAGTACTTATCTTTACCACTTCTATTTCGATTTTATATAGCACAAACCTTTCTCAACTCAATGTCTTTTTCCTAATATCAACTATAATTAACTATATGTGAAATATCGATTGTGCCGTGCTGTTTCCATTCGCGAGTTTCGAGTTTGCGAATTTTTATCGATCGATGTGTTTAAATTTATATTTATCATCGAAAATTTTTTTGGTAATGAAGATGTTTCAAAAATATCTGGATTTAATTAGATTTCAAACGAAAAATTGTTTTAGTCCGTTGTTGAAGATGTTGTAGGCAAATTTAAAATGCCTCCATTACTGAAAAAGTGTATTTACAAGTAATATATTTCTTTGAAAATAAAAGTTGACATAATCGATACATAATGTGTCTTTTTTATTAAAGTTATATCAAAACAACTCAAATCTGAGTGTGCAAAGTTTATAGAAACAGCAAAGACCTAATTTTTTTATCCAATATAAAAAAAACTGAAAACTAAAACATTTCAAAGAGAATCACTAGTAATTTCTTCAGGGTATATTTTTTATGTATTTTTGGGAAACTGCATTTTCCGGAGTATATTTCTTGCACTGACTAACTTAACAATACAGTGCGGACAATACATTTTCACTTGCACCATCATTTGCGCATTTCGAAATAAGTCGACAAAATGAAACGATACGACGTTGCTACTTTCATTTATGGAATTCGCTAAAAAATGAATGAGTTACAATTTTGTGTCAATTCAATAAAATTTGTCTGCAATATATCAATTATTCAGTAAATATTCCAACCCCGATATTTGTCAATTTTAATATTTTAACCCTTCACTGCATCATGTTGTAGAATTACAACACACCAACTTTTTCGGTGTCATATCTCTGCTTTGACTATTATTGCTTTGTTGTATTGCTACAACACACCTAAAATAGTATTCCAATGCAGAGTTTCAATTGCGATCAGGTAGATGGCACCCATAGTGCTGTGGAGTCAGTTGACATTTTTCCGTTGACAAGGTTATGGTCGATGAAATTGTCGCTTTATTTTCGTCGTGGAGTCGAGTAATATATACTGATAAAAATATTGTGGTATAAAAATAGGGTAAGTGAATTGTTATGCGGATATTAGCTTGAAAAACTTTTTTGCAAATGACATATCATTGCATTTTTACTTGTTGTTTCTTTACAACATCATGCAAATTATCAAGTCACGTTTTCAGATGAGTGCCAACTATAGAAAAAAGAGGTGGAAAAAATATTAGATAAGTTGTCCGATAGTGAAGACGGTTTAGATATCGATGACGATGATGGCAATGATGACCCTGATTTTCAACCAGAGAAATTATTGAATAGAAATTTTGATCGTCACAGTGATTCAGATTCTGATGACAATGACAACAGACTAAATAGTCCAGAAAATGAGGGAGAGGTTGAGACACATAACTGTGAGCCGGAACTTCTAGTGGGAACGCCGGAAAAACCCAAAGAAAAAAAATCTGATGGTTTGTTTATTTCATGTCTAGATGCTTGATTGTACCTATGAACTTTTTATTTGTGTAGATATTGCTTGGAAGAAAAAAGGTTTGGCCCTGAATGGAGAACAGCTGAAATTTCATGGTGGTACATCAATACCTAGGAACGTTTTGGAACTGGAAAATCCATATGAATTTTTCTTTTACCTATTCACAGAAGATCTTATTCATAAAATAGTAAATGAGACGAATCTTTATGCGATTCAAAAATATGTCAGTAAATCGATAAATAGCACGGCAAATGAAATGAAACGGTACATTGGAATTACATTGTTCATGTCATTAGTGCATCTTCCTAGCACTCGAGCCTATTGGTCAGATGATTTGGCTTTCGATGAAATAAAAAATACAATGTCAGTGAACAGATATGAAAAAATCAGAAGTGTTTTACATTTCAACAATAATTAAACTGCTTTACCACGTGAATATCCAAATCATGACCGTATTCATAAAATAAGACCATTGCTGGAAGCTCTAAAAATAAGTTTTTCCAAGGAGTTTCCCCTTGTGCAATATTTATCGGTCGATGAGCAAATATGTTCCTGTAAAGCAAAACATTATCTAAAACAGTATTTGCCAAAAAACCTCGCAAATGGGGATTCAAATTATTCGTACTCTGTGGGGTGTCAGGCAATGCTTATAATTTTGAAATGAACACAGGCCAAGAAAATGTAATACTACCTAATGAACCTGATCTTGGGGCTTCATCGAATGTGGTTGCTCGACTATGTAGGTTGGTTCCATCAAATATGAATTACAGAGTGTACTTTGATAATTATTATACATCTGTTCCTTTTCTGGTACATCTTGCCAGACGAGGAATTTATAGTTTAGGAACTGTAAAAAGGAACCGCATTCCCGATTGCAAATTACCTACAGAGAAGGACCTAAAAAATAGTAGTCGTGGAACAACAGAAGAATTTGTAGGAACCTCTGATGGTATTGATATGTCATCTGGAAGGATAATAAAGTGGTAACCCTTTTGTCGACTTTTGCAGGACAAAATCCGACCGGAACTGTATCTCGTTATGATAAAAAGCAAAACAAAAAAATTGATATAAACTGCCCTTTCATAATAAAGGAATATAACCGGCATATGGGTGGCGTAGATCTACTAGATATGGAAAATTTTATTTCTTTGAACAAATGCATGATGTTGTTTTCTAACAACATCGCTTTTTCAGTTTAATGCATGATGTTGTATTTCTACAACTTGTTGTTTTTTGTTAATTTTCATATGAATGTTTGCAGAAAACATTTTTTCATTATTTTTTTAGTGACGTATGTGAATCTTTTCATCATATGTATTTTTCAGACATAATAGAAAAAATCATGCAGCTAAGGGTTAAAATGCGGTTATGAGGTAGACATTTATATTATATACGATATATGAAATGCTCGCAGTTTATAAGTTATGATAATATGTATTTTTGTAGTATGAACGACTTCGAACTGCAAAAACTTTATTTTAATATAAAGTATTTGCGGTTGGAGCATCAAACTGTCAAACGTTATGAATAAACCGCAATATCTAAGAAACGGCATACGTTTGTATAGCTATTTCTCTTAGAGCTATGGTGCATACAAGAACTCCCTCCGATTAAACTCAAATGTTAACAGTTTTTTTTTAGTTTTTTACTTGTAGAAGAAGATGATATATTTAAAAGTATTCGTTTCAGCTTTATATCACATCAAGTATTGATGACGCATGTGTAATTATTTCTTTCTCAAATGCATCTTTCAAATTTAAAAGTCACTGTGAAGAAGAATTATTTGAACGAATGTGTTCTATGAACAATTGTAACAATTATAATTATTGTTTGTGATTTCAGTCAGTGTTTTGACAGAGTTCAACATTCGAATTATAACACCTAAATGTAGACTCCTCCTTGATCTTTACGAATTACCAAAGCCTGGTTTTTGGAACCTTCAGAAAATTGAATTTAAATGGGATTATCTCCATATTTATTATGACTCTTCAGAAAACAACAGAAAAGCCAACAACATTGCAAAGAATATCTTCTGCCTGACTTGTTTACTACGAGAAATCTAGAAAAGTGCATTCCTTTAATCCTCCCCCGATACGGAAAAATATTCATTCGCCATTGTATATTTCATTTCCTTTCAGTGGCACATTTTTTGGAGAAACCTAATCCAATCCTCTACCGAAGCGAGCTTTTTTATTTATGTCGATGCACTTTGCAATCTCCCAGAGAGGGATAAGCCGATGCTCCTGAATTGTAATATCCACCGTTTGTATGTAAGAGGGGATTCTGAAAGTGCCGGATTCAAATTGGGTTTATGTCCGAGAAAACAACCGGTGAACGCTCTTTGCATGCCATTATTTTTTGAATAGACCGGCCGACGAGGAAAGCAACGTATCCGATTTGGGGAAGTGAGTTGGCGAAAGTTCTCTATTCATACATGTCCTAATCGAAAAAACTAAATACTTCATCAAAGAGATTTCCTTATTCTCTTAAAAATAACTCTCAACTGATGTGGAAAACATTAAAAAAGCTTGTAAACCTGAATTGCCAAAACTTTCCTAGCTGTATAGAATTTAACTTTATTTGAAACATGTGGACATATAATTTTAAACCTTGTAAATACTTCTCTGCAAAATTTCAAAAATATCAAATTCTTTAAAAGGTAGTACTATAGTTCTCATTCAAAAGGTAAGTAATACAATCAAGGCCAGTGAATATAGACCTATAAATACATTACCACCAATAGAAAAAAGTCTTGAACTAGCTGTTTATAAGCAGGTACTTGATCATGTTGAAAAATAGAAAACTTCGGATTTCGTAAAAAATATTCATGTGAATCCGCATTACAACTCACTTCATCTAAATTTTAAAAAATAAGTTGATACCATTGAATTTGTAGTAGCTGAAGAGGGCTTTTGAAACAATTGATCGTAATATTCTTCTAATGAAATTAAGAGGTTATGGCATTGATGGTGATGTTTACCAATGGCTATCTGACTATTTATCCCATAGAAAGCAATAAGTCAGAGTTCACAGGAATTGGATATACATATAGGTGTGTCTCAGGGTAGCGTTTTAGGACCTCTGCTTTTTATCTCATACTCAAATGACATAAACTTGTTTATAAATGATGATTTTATAAATTTATTTGCAAATGATACACTATTGGAATGCTACGATACAAGCTTAGATAAAGCTATTGATAAAATGAATGCCGCATTAAAGAATGTAAATGAGTACCTCAGGGCAAATAAATTAAAACTGAATAAAATGAAAACTAATGGAATGATTATTACAACAAAATATAAATGAAACAACCTTGATTTAAATGAAATAAATCTACAAATCGATAATGAAAACATTGAAATTGTGTCGTGTATCAAATATATTGGATTCCAGTTAGATTATTTATTACTTTTTGGCAATCATATAAGAAAATATCTAAAAAAAACTATATTTCTTTTCAAGAATTTTTGGTAATGTATCCACTCAGTCTGAAATTACTGTGTACAATGCCATTATCCAACCACATTTTGATTACTGTGCTTCTATTATTTTCTTGTTTAATCTAAAACGAACATCTCAATTACAAAAACTTCAAAATCGCGGTATGCGAATTGTTCTTAAAGTGAATAGATTCACTGAAATCGGAATTATGTTACAAACTTTGCGTTGGCTACCAGTTTCGTTATACGGTTGTGTAACTCAACTATGACATTTATATATAAAATTCTGAATAACTTATCACCTTCATCTTTTTCTGAATATGTTAGTTTAAATTCAGAAATGCACAAATTTGCCACAAGAAATCATGCTTATTTACATTTATGCAGAACAAATAGGAGAAGTGCCATGAATTCTTTATTTTTCAAAGGGTTTGATGTATACAATACATTTCCAAATTTTTTTTTCAATAATAAATGAGTTTTATTTACAAAAATGAGATGTTGAAAAAAATTACAAAATTGAAGAAACTAAAAGTTAAACTTTCCCTCGGTTATCTTGAAGGCGTTATGCATTTACGAATGAAAATTTGTTTTTCATCATTGTTTCTCCGTACCGCTATGTTTTCGGAGTCTGAAATTTTGTATGTTTTTTGTTGTAGATCTGCAATAAGAAGTACAATGAGAATATTTTATTCGTTTTATTGAATTCTCATTTCACGTTCAATTGCTTAATTTAATTGATATTTTACCTATTCCTTATAATTTTATTTGTTTTCTTTGATTTCGAATCATGTAGAATCATATTAGACAATAGAAGTCCGAACTAATGAAATTCACCATGCAACATTGTCAATCATACTTCATACGTGTAAACATTCTTCCATACCCGAATTGCAATACATTCACTTACTCAAAATTGGAGGGAGTATAATTTCAGGAGAGAATAATTTTTGGAAGAGTTGTATAGAGTTCATTTTTTGAAACTGATTGCTTTCTTCCTTTTTTTAGAAGATTCTCACATTTTTTGCATAAATTTGGAGAAGTAGAAAGTCAAAACCATTCTTTCCCAAAAATTCACTCATTCATTGTTGAAAATAATTCAAATTGCAAAGTTTTTGGATTTAAAAATGAATGGTACACTTTCTGAATAACTCCTTTCATTGAAAACAACCTGTTAACATGAAAACAAATACATTAAAAACCAACAAAAATAAACGAATCGAGCTTAAAATCAAACAATTGAAATTGCTTTAAAATCAGGTTCGACAAACTAATCCATCCATGAATATTTAGTCGAGCCTTCAACTTTCTCTAGTATCAAAACAGATTCAGTATTCTAAGCAAAACAGTAAAATTGTGGGCAAAACATAATTAAAATTGACATTTTGGAAAATCTAAGACCAATTATAATCACAAACGACAAACATTCTTCGAATTTCATGAAATTTCACGATATTCTACTTGGAAGTCAGGTTAGATACAACACCCATCTTCTGGTTACCATTTTCAGATTTTCTTTGAATTCTTGTTATTTATTGGACTCTTTTATCATCTTGTCTGTGGTTCATAAAGAGTTTTTTTTATAATTATCTTCAATATTTATGGAATGAATTACATAACAAATTAGGCAGAGTTGGATGAGGTAAGAGGATTTTCGTAACGTCATTGAAGGAGAATTATAATGACATCTCAACAGGCAATGCTGCCGCGATGGCAATTTTGAACGTTCTGGCTTTTTGTAAGAAATAATACTCAAAATCCAATACATAATTTGCAGTATAAAACGCTCACACATGGAAATGTTCAAAATAGCAACAGTATCGAATGTGTGATATAACCCGTTTGATATCCTCTAAATTTTTTTTTGTGGAGGACTTCTCATCGTTTGTTTCAGTTATATAACATTCCACAATCTGAAAAACATACAAAGCTGAATCAATAGAGAATCTGTTGGAGTATAGTGTGGGGCAAATTGAAAATTTCAGGTTTTGAAAGCGGGAAAAAGATTGTTTTCTGAATAGTCGACCACTAAAGAAAGCTAAGTATTAATTTTTTTCAATCGATTTTTCCAATTTATAGGCAAAATTTATGAATACAAGTCACTGACTAATTGAGCTCTTCAGTGATTTATACATATATTACGCAATAACTTTTCGGGGTAAACTTTTCAGTTTGCCGTTCAGCAGATTCTCTATTGATTTAGTTTTGTTTTTTTCTCAGATTGTGGAAGGTTATTTTCTGAAGACGCGAACTTAGTTGGTGAAACGTACGTCTAGAAATGTGCTGCAGTTCTGGTGTTTGGGAGAACTGCCTGTTTTGGATTTATTACACGCTAGAAGTTCTACTCTTCATTATATTTTATTGTTGAAGTATATAGTTATTTTCATTCATCTTGTTAACGTTTTCACTTCTGGCTCTTACTAAAGCTGATCCTGTTCAAATCAGTTGAATTTCTTTTATTTTCAACTTGTTCTTGTTGAACTTTTTAACAGCTATCGATGCCACTTCAACATTTCGTCGTAATTTTGGTATATTGCCATAAAAGTTCTCAAAAACTGTTTTCTTCAAAACCACATATGACACCAAATATTAAGTTTCTGGGTTTCAAATCTGGCAGTTCGAAAATTCAAAATACTACGATTTGACTATCTATAAAGAATATGGTCTTCATTATATTATTGAAAATATGTTGAATTTCAATTATTGACTTCCCCCGCCAAAAGTATGAAAATTCGTTGTATATGAAAAACAAATTCTATAATGAAAATTTGATTCATCGGTGTACTTTTAGCCATCTGGTATTCACATGCTTTAATAATTCTTCATTGCATCTCTACATCTTCCATTAGAAAGAAATTACATTAATCAAAAAAAATCTTTTTGGGAAAAAACTTTTTGGCTTTTCACTCTCCGCTCTTTATACAAAAAATGTTTGTAACTTTTGAAGAAAGGAAGAAATTTCAAACGTTTTAATGTGGTATAATATAAAAATAACAATAAAAAATTATTGGCACTCCGGGGAAGAAAGCAATTAAGTTTAAAATAAACTTTTTATACCATACTTTGTGTTACCGAAATTTTGTTTAAACTGATTGGTTAATTAAAAATAGAAAATGGTATCAAAAGTAGAGACGAACTATCAAACTATCAAAAGTAGAGACAACACACCTGTATGTTTTGATATATTGTATACTGTTAACACTTGTTTAGACAGTAGACGTCTGAACCTCTGATATTTATTGTTAAGAGGCTATTGCCATTCGAAAATGTGGAGATAAGAACGCATTCACCTCATTCTTAGGATCAATGGAATAGGAAAATTGATAGCTCATCCTACTAAGCCAAGCAAAAAAGTGTCGACCCTCAAAATGTTCATCTTCTCTCCGTTTTCCAGTTTACTCTGGATTAACTCTCACTCAATATGCTACCCTTATCGTATCTCAGCAATTTGTTTTGTGTTACGAGTTTTACATCATTTTTGCTGCATCGATGAAAAACTGTATTTCATATTTGAATTTCATATTACGACGTATCTCAACTGATTTTTCTTTTCAAGGTGAGCCCGACAGCGTTGCCTTCGGTTCTATAATCGACGGCGTTTTCGAAGGGAAGATCGTATCGCCGAAAAGGGGCGCCTACTACGTAGAAAAAGCTCATCACTACTTTCCCCACACCACGCACCCCAATAGGACGTTCCACAGTGTCATTTACCACGAGGATCACGTTACGGATCCTTACGAACATATGAGGGAAGGTGAGTATTATTTGCTTTTATATCTGATTCTCATTGTTTGTTTCCTTACTTATGCAGACAACAAAAAAAAAGTGATATCCATGAAGAAACTGCCGTATTTCCATTTGAAGGCGGTTGAAATTTTTTTTTTAATGTTTCTATTAGGTTTTTGTAAAAATTTAAAATCTAATGAAATATTCGGCCTAAATAAGAAAAGATTTAAAAATAGCAATAAAATTGAATTACGAACAATTTAAAATGAAGAATATGTAATACAGAGGTCTGAATGACCTAAGCCATTAAATTATTTATTTCGTATTTATAATTTCCAAATGAATTATTCAGTTATCTAAAGAATGATAACCAATTGGTTCAAACTGATCACTACTCTCAGATGAACTGTTTGGAACCTTTGGTGTAGTAGTGAACATTACTGACAGCCAAATCCACCGCTCACTTCATTAAAAAGAAATATCATCAATATAAATTTAAGATTTGTTATGGACTCAGACCAGGTGACGATGCAAGGTGAACAACCTTTTGTGAATGGTACTCTAGAAAATGTCCCTTTCAAAATAATTTCGTCTGATGAAACTAAGATCACCAACAATGGCATTTTTAATAGACAGAATGTTCATTATTGGTCACAACAAAATCAGCGTGTACACAAAGTGTCCAGACATCAACATCGTTTCGATTTTAACATGTGGGTTAGGATTCTCGGTAGGTACGGATGTAATTGGGCCTTTTATCTACCAGCGTTATGTGCTCCAGCACATAACGCTAGAATGTTTGTTTTTATTTGAACCGTCACTTCCCAGGACTCACAGTGATACATTCTGGCCCGCAAAGTCCCCCGACCTGATCCCACTAGACTTTTTCCTTTGGGGATATATCAAGAATCAAGTGTACTCTCATAATTTCCAAAATAAAGAAGATTGGCTAAGATTGGTTACTGCATCCTTCAACAATATTGTTCCGAATATGTTAACTCAAGTTTTAAATTCGTCTGTGAGACGAGCGTACTTGTGCTTAGAAAATAACGGCGGGTTATGTGAACACTTGTTATAAGTTTCTGTTCATTTCCTATGATACATATTAGCATTACAATTATATTTTATAAACTAAACTTTTGATATTGCGACTCATCTCTGTATTCAATAACGCAACAATTCCGGTGGTAAGTTAAAATTTATTGTAAATTAGACTAATCAATGTACTTCATGTATCAAAATATGACATTTTTTCCATCGCGTACTATCTACAATTTAAGAAAAGCAGGTTAGTAATCATTTTTTATTTTGCGCGAGAAATGATTATGAAATCATATTGTGTGATACGTTGCTGTATTCACAATGAAATAATTTAGTTTCGGCCCTCATGAAAATACAAAATCTGTTTCTGTTTAAAAATCTGTTTAAAATCTGTATTTCCGTTAATCAGCTGTCGCCCCCATACGAACGACAACTCTCAGAAGTTGAGAAACTTGTGCGAGCTAACGTGTGATTCCTAACAAAGATGATGATGTTTTCTGAAAGATGAAACGTCGCAGAAAAATTCTTTTCACGTTATCGTGTAGTTCTTAAAAAGTTGCCCTAGCAAAGTGCTAATTGTTTTACATTTCCTTCGAAAATAAAGCTAGAAGAAAATGAAAAAAAAAATCTCAAATTTCGGTTTTTCACGGATATCTCTGAAACTACTCGGAATATTAAAACTTTCTAAATGGCATATTATTAGGCACATAAATGCGCTACTTTTCTCCAATTCAATCGACCCTGTATCACTTACCGTTTCCGATAACCCCATGCTGTTCATTCTGATCTTGGACACATTGTACAGGTGCAGTGAGATTTTTTGGATACAGAAAACTTTTCCATAAATCACTAACGGGCAGCAGACAGAAGTAAGAGCCCCTACAGCACAAGTGACGTGATACTTTTCATATATGGTTTAAAATCGTTTATTGTCCTAATTAGTTAGCATGAACACCAAGATAACTAATCTTCACTAATAAAGACGGATTATCAACTGTTCAGAAAGTCTGTGAAGCACAAGTCGAATTCTTCCGAAAAAAACAATCCAAGAAAGTATGACATTAGTTTATAGAACAGAAATGCTTTTCTGCTTTGAACTATCATTCAGCCATCAATTCGTTTAAGAGTTTGTTGTTTTAGAGCAAGGCGGTTGTTATGACGTCATTGAAGAATTGTTTGTGAAATAACATTGGGAAATCTTCACTGAATGAAATATTCAAACAGGAATCTGTTGAAAGGCACTAGAGACATACTGCTGTATTTTTATTCAGGTATTAATTGTTATATTTCTCTAGCCTCCAGAGAATACTGCTCTAGCTATAATCTTTGAAAATCTAATTAAATTTCTCTTGTGTACCTATATAACGTTTCGTACGTAAAACAACGAAATGTATGCATTTCATTCTCATCATTCAGAGATGTCTTGTTACACGTTTTGCATTATGCATAATATGCGCTGCCACATACTTGAACCCGCATCCTGTAAGTAAATCCTTTGCTGAAGCTCACCATAAAACGTGTCCCGCTCTGCAATGTCTGGAACAATTGTTAGCTTGTAACTGTATGTGTGTACCACACTGCTAGATATGTTATTCTTTTCACTAGCCGGACAGCTGTGCGGCAATAGCTCTACGTTGTATCCTGTGTCTGTGCCAGTGTTTCGGAATAGGTTTTAATTTATTGGGTCGCTGTCTCAGACCCGGCGCATTCGCCAAATCCTTTGCAAATATGAATTATTATTTATCGAAGTTGATTTTCTCCAAGTGGTCGTGTCGTGTCAGTAAAATACTAGTATATTTTCTGAATAAATCACCTCAAAAGAACCTCAACTTATTGATTTTAGTACCTATTTGTATGGTATTCTAAATCATTGTATAAATTATAAATCCAACTAGTTAGAACACGTGCTGAGTGTTTTTAAAGCGATAAAAACATTGTCTTGCTGTTGGGGACGATAAATGATAGCTATGAACTTGATTTAAATGATCAAAAGTTGCTTATTTCAGAACACATTAGATAACCATTATCATATTTATAAGATGATGTCATTATTTGCAGAATTACTGGAACTTGTTTCAGAAAAAGAGTTGGAAAATTGAAAATTCTTTTTGATTAGAAATATTTTTTTATTGTGGCTTTTTTATTGATTGTCTAACCATTATTGTCATTGGTTCCTTGAAATTTTAATAAATAAATAAATGGTGTACAATCAACCCCCTCACGGTCATTTAAAATTCCGTCAAACACTCACTCGCATATAATAAAATCATTTTTGTTGGAGAAAAATTTTACGATCGTTCCTTAGTTTTCCTCAAATTGAAAAAAAAATATCTGTAGCGGTCCCATATATTTCACAGCAACAAAAGTTTCGTGGCATTTCATTTTCGAACACTTCGTACCCGGGGGATATTGCCTTGTGAATGCATTCCTATCCAAGCAGAAATATTCAATTATATTGACTGGAGATTTCAATATAAACTACTAGGAAGAGTTGAATACTTGGTTCTTAAGAAATATATATTATCCTTATTCAATCTGAAAATGCGTTTGTGCAATGCGTGTCACCAAATATAATCGACTATAGATGTAGCAACATGCATGATGATTCAGTTCGTGCTCGGTTATAAATGCAGGCCTGTCAGATAATGCAGCTGTTATATGCACATTCCATGTTAGCAAGCAATCTCGCATACAAATACGGTCGAATATGTATCTCAAAAAATTTCAATAAACTCTCAGAAACGTCTTTTCACTCTGACTGGAAATCGATACTGAACGCAGAGAAATCATTCAAAACTTTTTATAAACAATCTGTGAGGCTACATAATGAATATTTTCCGATGAAATGAAAAATGTCATTTGAGGGCATCAAAATATGAGCAAAAATGTTAGATGTCTGCATACAATTATGAAATATGAATATGTTTCCAAATGTATTTTTGAAACAATAGAAAAAAGTTATTACAACACAATATCTATTTTGTTATACGTATGTACCTCCCCTCGATACAGTTTTCAGAGTCGTTTTCATTTATGTCTAGAATATTGGTACATGGAATGTTTCTTCCCTGCTTGTGGCTGTTACTAGTTAAAAATCTTTCTCTTTGACGAAGGTTTCATATATGCAGTCGAGTCGCGTTGAATTTAATCGAGTCCCAGGCACTTTGCTGTTTCAGTAGGATCTTTCCTGTAATGACGAGAGGTAATACTTCGAAACCGCGGTCTAGAAGTGATCTACTTGAACAATTTGAGCATGGTTTTGTGCTGGATGAACAAGAAACATCTGCGAGACTAACCTCTGTCAGGTATCTTGCATAAATGTCAGTCATACATAATTCAATGTCCAGTGTGGTATTAGCCGGGGAAGTATTAGTTTTCCGGCAGGCATTTACCAGAATATTCTGTGTAGGTATCTTAGGTTAGGTGAAAAAAGAGTAGGCCTATTCGACCCTACACCGCAACCCGCAAGGTTTTATTGTGGTTCACACCTACTCAAACTCGACCAAATAGACCCAGCTTCTTGACGAAGCCAATTAGTTTATATAATCAGTAATCTTTCAGGTCAGATGTGAAAGTGTGGTTCTACCAAACTCAGAAAACCTGATTCGGTCCGCAGCGGGGTAGGTACTTGCCAAGTTTTTATGTCAGTGTTGGGGGTTTGACCAAACAATCGACAACTGCGGGAGCAGAAATTTGGGAAGCTAACCTGGGATGCCATCAGAAATCGAATCCATATGTTTCTAGAAATTATATGAAATCGAGAAAGGTTAATGCAGTCAAGCTGCAAGTTGTCTTGGATGTCACACCAATAGGTGGTTCCACTTATGTCTCGCTTGCGTTTACGCAGTTATTTTTATCTATTACTTTTCTTAGTTATTCACATTTTATCTTCAGTCGAGGACCGCCTGCTCGGTACTGACGATGTGCAGTAGGCTGAAACAGCTGTCTACCGGTGGCTCTTAAATTGAAATCAATATGGGAGTGATCAGAATAGTATTTATTTATTTATCTATTGATTTTCATGGAATTATTTTCCAGCAGCTTGACTGAGTTAACCTTTCTCGATTTCATATAATTTCTAGAAACATGTGTATTCGATTTCCGATGGCATTCCAGGAGAGCTTTCCAATTTTCTGCTACCGCAGTTGTCGGTTCATTGGTCGAACCACCAACACTGAGTATGGAAACATTTCTAGTTGAATAAAAAACTTTCTTGTGTTTCAGACGAAAAATAATTCAAATTGCGTCTTATCACTCATAAAAATTATGAACGCAGAGGTTCACTTGTGAAACATTCCAAGGATCGAAATAATTGAGTGTCATGCAATGTTCAACTAATTTCCATTAATTGCATGTGCATGATTCATTTATTTGACCTAGAAATAATTGATGGAGCAGAACATATGAATTATTATCGTTATTTCCAAGTCTGTTATTACGAGAAGTAACAAATATCGTCGTGACTCACACAATACAATTAGAAAACAAAACAATCTGCATTGAGAACTTGATTATTTGACTTTGAAATAATTCGTTTATGGTTCAGTTTCAATACCTATAAAAAGAATTAATAATGTTCTTGCAAAGTCCTTTACGGATGGTATCACATGCTGAAGTGTCATCCCGGGTGTACATCCGTTCGTCTTCGACATTATCACGACGTTTTGACAAGATCCCATCTGCCATATTCATGTGCTCTGCTTTGGTAGCTTTCAGTTTCCAGTTCAGTTGAACTTGAAACTGAAACTTTAGTTGGTCCATAGGCATTCTTCATATCACGAGTGAAGTACTAATAAATCATTATTTTGAAAGATACCTACCTAAAGGTAAAATCTTTTTAAATGAATCAGATTATACCTGGTACAGGGTGCTTAATTTTTAAATGCGGTTCATTTCATAAAAAAAAATATTTTCATCATCATTTGAATCATTTCCAATCACGTCAGTTCGTTTCCAGCAATGAGTCTATCAATGTAAAAATTTCCATGGCTAGCCATGTGAATAATTGCGGTGAAACGACCTATGGCGGAATAGCGCGCTCGCCTCTCTTTCACTAAACATATGGATGAAAACACATGGCTACCTTCACACTGGTCTTAATTTTTAGTAGACACATTAAATGAAATATGAATGAAGGAAAAGTTCACCTCATAGAAATCTTCAAGGCTGTTGATTTTAGGCAAATAATTTAACGGTTTGTCCTATAGATGAATGCAGATATTGCAGATATGAGTATTTCAATATTATGTAGAGCCATAGCGAACAGCAGTTTTTGTAATATTATAAATAAGATGCAATGTCATTTATCGAAATTGTTAAACGTTTTGATGTTTTTCAGCGTTTTGCCTTCTTGGGGATTACGAGACCTTCTTTTTTTCTATTTTATTTCAATATCAATACGGTTGCCTTGTGATTTATTCTGGCAGTCTAATAACCGGGACATTTTTTAATAATACAACTTCTGCCATAGAAAACAAGGAATTTCAATTCCATTAGATTATTATTTATCAATGAATAAAGAAGGAGCAAAATAAATAATTCAATTATGAATGCATAAGAAATTTTTATTGGATTGTTTTTTGGGTCTGGGGAAAAAATATCAAAAACAAATTTTTCATTAAATATTTTTTTTGTATTTCACGGCTCTTTCTCTGTGTCGAATTTTGCAGCAGAAATAATCATAAAAGATATATGCAGCATGATCACCGAGCCACAAAACAAAATGTCATCTACAAAACACAATATATTTTAATTTGTTACTAGTTGTACGAGGTCCGTTCAAAAAATGTGGTGAATATTCAAATTTCGCTGGCTATGTACATTCGATTAGCGATTTTTTTATTTTTTCATGTTGTACACTCGTCTCGAATATATGTTCACAGTTTCAGCTGTTTTCTGCTTTCGAAAAAAATTTATCAAAGAATTTGTATCGAATCTAGTGTAATAAATGGAAATAACTGCTCAAAAATACTTGGAATTTTGACAGTCAGAAAAGTGTTTACAAGTGGTACAAGCTGTTCGCAGAAGGTAAAGAAGATGTAAATGACGACGCTCGCCCTGGGCGCCCCTGTTCATCAATAAATGAAAATTTTGAGAAAGTAAAAAAAAAACTTGTTATGGAGAATCTTCGAATCACTATAAAAGAAATCGTTGAGGATGTCGGCATATCGGTTTCCTCATGCCATGCAGTTTTTTCGGAAATTATGGCATGAAGCGTTTAACAGCGAAGTTCTGACCAAAATTGATGAATTTCGTCAAAAAAAAACGTAGTATATTGAATGACATCACCGGCGATCCAGATATGCTTAAAAGGGTCATAAAAGGTGATGAATAATGGGTATGTGGGTATGACATTGAAACCAAAGTTCAATCGCCCCAATGAAAGAGCCCAGGATAGCCAAGGCCAAGGTTTCCAGTGTATGAGCTTTATGTAGAGAGGAAATAGTTCAACAATCTAAATATTGTCCCATTTCCTGTCTCATCGAGCTAAAATTTCCATTTTTAAAACGAATTATGAGACAAATGTACTGTCGTCCGCAAAGCAATAAATTGAATTTTTGGTCTTCTAGGTAGGTACCTACTATAGATCGTTGACTTGCAATAGAAAAGAGAAATTTTTAACAACCATATTGATACCTGGAGAACACCAGCGTTAATGAAAAAGGTATTCGAAGGAGAACCATCGCTGGTAAAGAACGATATTTAAGAGGGTTAAAAACCATGAATTAAAACCGTATTAATTGAATTCGTCCACCCACCCGTATCAGCACAAAGTAGCAGCTTTCAACAGTATGATCCACAGACTGATTAATGTGCCCTTGTAAGAGGCAAATTTCAATAATGAACTGAACATAATAAAACAAATAGCATACATTTGTCATTATCAAAAAAGTTATACAGACAAGGTTTAAAGGAAGTTTACCCAGTTCGAAGAGAAGAGGATAAAAGTTATAAAACCTCAACCTACTTAGGCCAACCCACAACAAATATTTCAGATTTTTTGCACAACAAAGGTGTAAATATTGCTTTCAAAACCAACAACAACTTAGGCATGCACATTAAGAATAACAAAGATAAAAGTTCAGTTTCAGAGAAATCGAGTGTGTATAAATTATCATGTGGGTCATGTCCGATGTTTTATATAGGTCAAACTGGAAGAACATTCAAAGCCCGCATATAGGAACTCAAAAATAGTTTCCAGAATTTGAAAAATAAATTCCACATATGCCACTCATTTAATCACAGAGGGACATGAGTTCAACCATAAATACAAGCCCCTCCATTTCTAGAAGATTGAAACTTAACCTGTTGGAGAGTATAGAAATAATCAAATTCAAACTTCATCGTATGTAATAATTTTTAAAAATTGATAAAACCGGCCAAGCATTAAAATATAGTTCTCATATTGATTCATTTCTATTTTACTGGCACTTATTTAATGGCATAAATGCTTGCGAATCCGCGGGTAAAAGCTAGTGTTTTTATATTATCATCTTTTTTTAACAGAATCATACGAATGTTTACGTTCTGATGGTTTCGGTATTTCTATTTTTTTCTTTTTTTTTTCAACTAATAGATTTCAACTAATAGACAATGAAAGTCAGAACCTCTAAAACTTGTATGTTATGTACTTGACAATAAAGCCATGTCACTCAGCTTTCTGAAACACATTTTTCAGGACATTCCGCTGGATGTGGCATCAACGACGAAGTCATCCAGTGGATGGACAAGATACAGAATTCGGGAAAGGATGACCCTCCGCCACCGGTACTCAACGAAGACTCTCCTGCAAAATATAGACAGAAACCAGTCAAACATAAAAAAGTGATTAGTACCGAAAGTAAAAAATATAAGGAAGAACCGAAACCGCCTCCAAACTTTGAAGATGCTTTTAGTAAGTACTCGAAAGAAGCAAACGAAGAAAAGAATAGCAGGCACCGCAGAGCCACCAGGAGGGATGAAAACAGAAATACCTGTTCTTTGTACATACAAACCGATCCTCTCATTTGGAGGCATATAAGAGAAGGATTTCCAGAAGTAAGTAATTTTTCAGGTACCTATATCTTATGTCCGTAGCATCGTTTTTTTTTTTTCGTCTAAAGTATGAAGAAACTTTGCTTTTTCGCTGAATTTTTGTAGTTTTTTCAAAAATCTGTAAAACACTTTCTACTTTCGATTTAGAGACCTGAGGACTCCAAAACAACCATTTATGTTTTTTGTTATACTCCACCGTCCTCCTCCGAATCAAATTTTTCAGCTCGTCTGTTTATAGAAGCTTTCACAGAGTTTTGTCTGTCGTCGAGATACAGTTCATTGGGTCAATACGAACTTGTTTTCTCCCTAGAGTAAGCAAGGGTTAGTTTGTTATTGACCAAAAGAAGGGTATTACTCGACAAACAAAGTTGTGTAAAAACCTCTTTATTATTGATATCACTATTTTCAGTAAATCCAAGAAAAGAAGCTTTTCTGCCCTCAATAATAGGATGTCTTGGTTGTAACCCATTTTCAAATTATCTATTTTGCGTTTTTATGTGAAATATTAGTTGTTATTCCTTGAATAAAATGGAAATGTTATAATTAAGAATAAGGTATAGCATTTTGAAGCCATCGCAAAAGGTCTATAAAACGGCCATTTCAACTGAAAACTCTATCATCAACGCCAAAATAATCTAATATCTAGGGTTTGATGAGAATTTCTTCAATAGCTAATTCAACTTCGTGGAAACATTGTTTTTGTGAGTCACTGCAATACGATTTTAAGAATTTATTTTGTAGACCGATGATTCCGATAAGTTAAATATTAGTTCGTTCCAAAAGTTTTGTCTGTTTTAATGTCATGTGTTTCTCTACGAACTCATATGATACCATACGCTGTCTAAACAGACCAAAAAATTAAATTGACATTTGGCAATGATAGTGTGATAGTTGGTTTGCAAAATTTCGATCCGGAGATTTTAGCCTCGAATATGAGCCTCGAAGTGGTCGAGCTACTCGAACTACAGTAATACAGGACGAGGATTTGAGGATCCTGACCCATTACAGACGATGCTTGGGATGGTGGAAAAACTGGGCGTCAGCTCCCATGCGGTTTTTGGTGGCTTGGAAAGGTCAAAAAAATTGTCACGTTTCGAGGTCTGTTCTTCTTTGCTTTTGCGCAGCTACAACGATCCTTTTTTTAATCAGATCGTCATGTTATGAAAAGTAGATCCTCTACAACAGAAGACGTACAGGCAGTGGTTGGACACTGATGAGCCACCGAGGCACTTCCAAAGGTGAACACGGCCAAAAAAGACCAAGGTTAGGTTAGGTTAGGTTAGCAGCTGGTGTGATTCACTATAATTTTCTCCAACCGGGCCAAATCATCACAGCAGAGTCCTATTGTGAGGAAATCGACGAAATGTACCAAAAATTGCTTCAGCAGCAGCCGTAGTCAGTAAATCGAATGAATTATTGGGTTCCCTTCTGTTATATACGAACAATGATAATTTAATCCCCAGAGATTCAAATCTAACGTGAATCGCTACTTTCACACAGGCACCTCTCTTAGAAAGCCTTGAGGATTTTCCTGTAGTGCTTGTGTTCTGTCCTTAAAATAAATATTGATCAAATATTCACTCTGTAATCAAATGAACATGTAGGGGTATTTGGTTTTTTGCCTTCTATGACCTTGAGAATATTTGTGGGTCGCTTCTACGGTAAGAAGCACAATATTATTCAAGTGAAAACTGAAAACATTAACTGATCTATTCGTTTAATGGAACTGCAATAGTCTAGGTCCAGACAATGGTCACACTGACCGAGTTGAAGACTGGTTTGGGAGAAATTATAATTATATAAGTAGACAACATATTTTAACTTTCAATACAAATATTACAGTAACTGAATACAGCTCTGATTTAATCGTTAAATTTATTTCGTGTCGTGGGCTTTCGATAAAAAACGTACAATCAGAAACAACCCAAGGTCTTCCAATAATACAGGAATTTTAAAGATAATAGAATCGGAAACCACTTATATCTTGACAGGGGTAATAATAGAATTGAAAGTTTAGAAACTTACAATTACTAAATGAGGGATTTTGATACTAATCTATTTAAATTTCAATTGAAAATATTTTTTGGTGGTAGCCCAAATAGAAAATACAATTTGACTGTACTATAACTAAGATACGTATAGACGTGCGCCAGGTCGATCTTCAACCATACACTGCTACAAAGCATATGCCATGTTTTGAACACGATCAACAGAGGTGTATTGAAACGTGGATTCGTAAACAATAAAGCGTTACTTGGATACGTTATGGATTTTCATCAATTCCATCACATAAATAAGCAATAGTCATAATACTTGAGTGCAATAGAAATAAATATCCAATAAAAACCGCACATGTAATATCTTATGACTTGCTTATATACTCCACATCTGCTAATGAATGCTCGCCCCAGTGATAACAGATTTGAAATCTATAAAAGAAAGGATAAAATTGATATGAATGAAATAGGAAAATTATTTAAAAAGTAATAAAAATAACCACACTGAAGTAGTAGAATGAGTTAGTTAAACAGAAAATAATATCGAAAACGAGAAAAAACTACCAATGAGTATGAAAAAAAAAATTGAGAATGCTAATTTGTGAAGAAAATGAATTGATTTGACCTGAAATGAAAATGAATTGATAAATCAGTTGAACAGTGAGTGAAATATCTCAATATATAAAGAAATAAAAATAAAACTTGAAACTAAATTAATCAGCTTAAATTATAAATAAATGTTCAAAATGAAAAATAAGAGTAAAAATATATTTCATTTCCTTTTTTTTATTTTCCAGATTGACGATGATTCTTCATGCAGTTGCTACCATCGTGGCTGCGGTGAAATGAACCAATTTTGTTTAGAGAATATTGACGTTAGCAATTTCCTCAACATACATTCTCTTGGCAACCACGAGGACTTTTGTCTCGCCTATGTGTTCACTTACCGAGACTTTACTGGTGGAACTTTGGGGTTGGCATGGGTTGCCAGTGCCTCCGGTGCGTCAGGTGGAATTTGTGAAAAGTATAAAACATACACCGAAACGATAGGCGGTATGTATCAGTCAACGAAACGATCGCTGAATACTGGAATCATAACTTTCGTCAACTATAACAGCAGAGTACCTCCCAAGGTATCCCAGTTGACTTTGGCTCACGAAATTGGACATAATTTTGGTTCACCGGTAAGTGATAGACTATTTATTAATTTAATTTATTCATAAAAAATTATAAAGACAGAATGAAATAAAATATCATATATGATACATGCCCTTTAAGTGTTATTACAGTATTCTTTTCTATTTCTGTAAAACAACCCCATTCTGTAATAAGTTAACTACGGGACTCTTCTGAAAATTTTATTTCACTATGCTAGACAGGTTGGCCCTTGATATATCAAACTACAGACCTAAAAGTACAAACATTCCCAAAACGGCTAACAAGTTATGTAAGAATTTGGGTATAAAAATTATTGCCATTGGATATAACCTCTCTGAAGCAGATAACTATTGTAGTGAGTTCAACATGAATGAAATATTACTCTCAGTATGATTCACATGCTAATATTTTGCAGTTTTTATTTTGCTGATGCATTGTTCAAAATAAAGCTTTATAAGGCTGTTATAAACATTTATCTTCGAGTACACAGCAAATTCTTATGAAATACTGGAGGAAAAGTACAGTTTCTATGATATATTTTTGTAAATGAAATCTAATTAGCAATCATTGAATGTCAAACTACCTAAATGAAAACTATATGAAAATGAGTTTATTTCAAAAGAGATGCCATCTTTTCAGTAATATTGCTACTCCTGCAATGAGCATGTTTTTCATGTTGTACCTGGCCAGTGTTAACACTTTTTCTGGATATTTCTAAGGTGTTAGGAAAAAAGGTTTTCAATTTTATATTTCTCCGTCCTCATGTGGAAAACATCAGAAAAAAGGAAGAAAGCAATTGAGTCCCCACATTATTTTGTATGAAGAAGTAGAAAGCCAAAAAGGTTCTTTTTTCAAAAACTAATCTCTCTTGAAATATCTTCTATTTCAATTTTTAGATGTATTATTACAATATGGAAAAAAATACACTCTTGCAGACATTTTAAACCATAAAATTAAAACAAGTTATATTTCTGAAATATTTACTGTGGTTTCGAAATTTGAGTTTATTTACCTCAATTATATTTCATCAGTATTTCTATTTATATTTTCAGCACGATTATCCACCGGAATGCAGGCCAGGTGGGCCCAGTGGCAATTACATAATGTTCGCATCTGCTACTAGCGGAGATCGTCCAAATAACAGCAAATTTTCCAGTTGTAGTATCGGTAATATTAGCAATGTCTTGGATGCCATCGAAGACAGCAAGAAAAGAAACTGTTTCACAGCATCTCTTGGTGCGTTCTGTGGCAATAAAATTGTTGAGGACGGAGAGGAATGCGATTGTGGTTATGACGATAAAGAATGCATAGATCAATGTTGTTATCCTAGAGTAATCAGTGACATTGACAGGAAATTGAATAAGTCTGCTACTGGTTGTAGAAGAAGGAACGGAACAGATTGCAGGTAAGTCAGAAAATATCAAATGATATTTATTATGCTGAAATATGACTAGAATAAAAGTCTTTCCTTGTGGCAACAAGGGTACACATGCCTCATATGCCTTTTATATGGCCAAAGTCCTAACAGTCAACATCAGTGATAGTTTTTGTTTGGCTGATAACTTGCACTCGGTTCCAGTATTGTTTATACTGTAATTATAAATATTAACCTCAAATTAGAAATGACTGCGTCAAATATTCCTTATAGTAGAATATTCAACTTGGCAGATATAGCAGTTGGAATGTATTAGGATGTTTCAAAAGTTTTGTTCATTTTTATGAATCTACTTTAAACTGTAATGTAATGTCAGTGAATACTTATTGAATTCATTTGAATCAGTGCACTTTTGCCAATGTTACACAAGTTGCTTAATTCCATCAGCATAAAAATTGTGGCCTCGGGATATGATGAAGTCGACGGAGGTCGTTTTTGTCTGGTCCTGATTGGCCAAAGTTCTACTGGTGATGGTAGTCTGGGGAGTAAAGTTCGTGAGGCAAATCTTCGACGCTCAATTCGTTTAACTTTCGGACGGTGATTTGTGAATCGTGCGGACGGGCGTTGTTGAGGAGCAGGATCGGACCTCTTCTGTTGACCAGTGCCGGTTGCTGCTGCCGGAATTTTCGGTACATCTCTTCGATTTCCTCGCAATAGGACTCTGCTGTGATGCTTTGGCCCGATTGCAGAAAGTGTAGTGGATTACACCAGCCGCTGACCACCATACAGTAACCATAGTCTTTTTTGGTGAATTTCCGCCTTTGGGAAGTACCTGGGTGACTCATTGGTGTCCATCCACTGTCTTGAATGTCGCCTGTTAATAATAATCATCTTTATTTCAGAATATGTCAACAATACAATAAACATATAATGACAACATATAATGAAATGACGTCACTGAGGGTTACAAAACACAATAATCTTGCGTAAATAGAAATATAAGATGCATAAATAAAGATAATTTTAAAAATTATGATTAAAATACTCCGCAATATTATAAGGTTCCAGATGTATGAGTACTTTTTTTTATTTCTCTTTTGTCGAAAATCTGTCTGTTGTGATGATCTGTCATACTCGATGATACAATCCCAAAGAGGATCATTTTGGTTGCGCAAAACCAAAGAAGAATAAACCACGAAACGTGACAGTTTCTGTCAATTGTTCAAAATGTGGAGCACTCACTTTCCGAGCTTCTTGACCTTTCGACTGTAGATCAACCACTTTGTTGCTCATCTAAGAGGTCAAAATCTCTGGAACGAAATTTCTCAAACCAACGTTAAACAGTGCGTTCATTAACTCTATCATTGCCAAACACCTGGTTTGGCAATGATAGAGTTAGGGCAATTTCGAAACAACCTAATAAATGTTTACAAATCTTATGAAATTGACCCAAAATCCTAACAGGAGTTTGTTTTTAGTGAATTTTGTGAGTGACAGCAATTGTGCATTAAAATATTACGTTGTTTGTAGAAGTAGCCAATTTGTTTCATTTTCATTACTTTGTCGACTTATTTTAGATGCACAAATTAATGACGCATGTGTAAAGATCCTTGGCCATAATGTATTAAATGTATTAAAGTAAATAGTTCTAAACATCACACCATGAGTTGGGTTAATTTTTAATTATAATTTTTTAAATAGATATATCTATGTGATAGATATATCTATCACAATTTTCAATTCTCTATAAGCTCGGTACTGTTATGTTTGTAGAATTCAACTCTGTATCTCCTTTCATAAATATGAAAAAATATGAAATAGAAGGAGAATATTAAACAGCTCTCTGTATGGAAAAGTTGAATGGAAGTCTATTTCAGATTCCTTCTCTTATTGAGTATAATCTATTACAGTTGGTGTTGAAACTGATATTTTTCTTGTATCAACTGTCTGCTTTAATTGAATGAATTCATTGTTTTTAGTCTTAATTTCTAATCCTACGAAATAGGAAACAGGTTACTCGTCATTTTGAAAAAATTCTGCTAGCTTTTTGAGAAATTATTCTTCGGTGAGTCATAAGTTGCTGCCTGGAACCCATCATCAGCAGATGAGACCAAGGTTATCATATTATTTCCCTGTTTCTTTATGAATATACATGGATCTGCATAACTTTGCTGGTAATCAACTTTCTTCACAACATCACATCTTGGCTCTTGAGTCCATATAAACTTTTATTAAGGTGTCATAGTAGATTTGTAAAGGTGTCATAGTAGATTTGTAAAGGTGTCATAGTAGATTTGTACCATCTTCATATCCTTTAATTTGCTTGATATAGACATTTCATCAAGCTCGCCATATCGCACAGTTATAATGTCGAATTTTGTAAGAGTAATTAATTCTTCTGTTAGCAGGTTTACTCTGAAGATCTATTATGGTGCTATCTTTTGTTACTGGGCTTAAGAAGAGGATAGACTCTACTAACATGTTCAAAGAGAGGAAATATCTGAAGTGAACTCAAAAATGTTATGGAGTTATTGGCATTCTTAATTAACTTTTTCACTGTCAGAATCTTATCAACTGCATAAATTAACAAATTATGAAAATTATTCCCCAACAATAACACATTGTTCAATACATCCTTGAAAACATCTAATAGTATGATCTGTAAAAAATATATTTTTCCGTTAACCAGCTGTCCCACCTCTACAAACGACGACTCTCAAAAGTTGATAATTCAGTGTTAACGATTTTTTGTTTTTGGTAATTTGAGCATTTTCAAAAATTATGTTTGCTTCAGTTATATCGTCGACCCTGATAAATTGTCACGTCAGCATATTTTTGATATGCACGAATATATTTTATATATGGTAATAATTTGTAATAATTAACGTTTTCCATTTTCAGTCCGAGTCAAGGTCCATGCTGCAACAATGAATGTAGATTCATCCCATTTTATCAGCAAGAAGAGTGCAAGATGGAATCTGACTGTTCGAGGTCATCTAAATGTAACGGAATCAGTGCGGAATGCCCTGCACCTACTCCTCGACCCGACAAAACTAGATGCAATAACGGCACTCAGTTATGTATCAAGGGAGATTGTACAGGTTCCATCTGCTTGGAATGGGATCTTCAAGCTTGTTCATTGACCACTCAGGATCATCCGAATATTGATAAGAGGAAACTTTGTGAATTGGCTTGTCAAAATGGTACTGACATTTGTAGAAGTACAAGTGAGTTTGCTGGGAAAGTTGGTTTACCACCAGGCGGTATCAGCTTGAGGCCTGGATCACCATGTGACAATTTTCAGGTAAGTTGGTAGTGTATGGTCTTTTTTTATGGAAGTCATTTCATAAAATTAGTTTTTCGAATAGCCGGAACCTATTCTCACATTCTCCTATTCTCTCTTTGGTTGTATGTCTGAGTTAAGATCATATGATGATGAGTTGTTCCAATTTCTATTTGTCAGTGCAAAGGTAGTGACAAATGGTAATATATTTGTTGAGGCATAGCTAAAAATGTATGATAGCTTTAGCCCAAATATATAAAAACAATGTACAAGCAATTCAAACAAACAATGAAAAATCATAATTACAGTATGATTGTAAAAATTATTACATATCAAATATTCTAAATTTATAAAATAATCAACTGATTTTTTTGTAGCTTGAATACCGCGACAGTCTCGCCATTACCTCCTCCTCGAAGATTTACGCCATGAGTGCACAAGAATTCAAGTTCTTTGTCAATATTTTCAAATCATAACATGTCCGGATGCTAAACTTCTTGGAAATCAATACGATTTTGTTTTCGAATTTCAATGTGTTATCAATAAACATTCTAAGGAATTCAGTGTTTGCAGCAAATGCCACTCTTTGTTGACTTATATACAGAAAGTTGTATAACTTACTGCCTAACCAATTAAAAACACTATTAATGAAAAAGTTCAAGGGGGCCTTGAAAAAATTATTGTCACAGAAATGTTTTTATAATTTGAGCAAGTTTTTATCAAGTATGTGTAAACTCATAATTTCATAATCCTAAATATATTTTTATGTGTATTTTTCGTTTCAATTTGAAATTATCTTTAATATAATTTACACTGTTTCAATAATTATTCTTATTATTCTTTTGAGTAGTATGGCATCAGAGGCATATACAATAAATGAGTAAAACTCTGTGTGAAAGTTCCGGGTGCAGTATCTGAGAAAAAAATTGAGCAGCGGAGTTCCACAAGGCTCTGTCTTGGTGCCCATATTATTTTTGTTATATGTAAGAGATAAGAATACTCTCAGCCAATTGATCTCTACAGGTCTAGCTGAAATGAAAAAGTGGTGCGATGCCAATCAAATGGTCTTCAACTCTAAGAGAACTAAAGTGTTATTGTTTAAATACAAATACAAAAACTACAAAATCGAGGAATGGGAATAATTTTAAAATATAATAGGTATACACCAATTTCTACCATGCCGTCTGCTCTACAATGGCTCTCATTATCCAAAAGATTATTCTATTGTTCCATGGTTTTCATTTATAAAATATTATATAAAATGACCCCACCATACTTACTATCATTAATAAATTTCAATAAGGACATTCAACACCATTCTACTAGGCACAACAGTCACATTCATATAAATAGAACAAATACAAGAAATAGTATGAGCAGTTTATTTTTTAAAGGTTTTGTCCAATTTAATGATTTACCTGATTCAATTAAATCTACTCTATCATTAAAGATTTTCAAGAGAGAACTGTTGAAAGAAATTCATGATGGAAATTGAAAAATTCTTATATATATATCCCTTAGGGATAACCCACAATAACCATTTTTCATCCTTTACATTTTTAAGCAGCGATTTTAAGCAAACAGTATTCATTTTTATCCAATCAAGTGCCTTAAATACATTGTGTATTTGACATAAATCAATATGGCCCTCTTCAGCATGTGATTTGAATGAAATATTTTTAGAGATATTACAGATTTAAAATGCAGGGACATAGCGGTTGCGGCGGTACCGGTCGGGAGGCCGGCAGCAAGTGCCAAAAGATTATTCTATTGTTCCATGGTTTTCATTTATAAAATACTAAATGAAATGACCCCACCATACTTGCTATCATTAATAACTTTCAATAAGGACATTCATCACCATTCTACTAGGCATAACAGTCACATTCATATAAATAGAACGAATACAAGAAAGAGAATGAGCAGTTTATTTTTCAAAGGTTTTGTCCGATTCAATGATTTACCTGATTCAATTGAATCTACTCTATCATCGAAGATTTTCAAAAGTTAACTGTAAAAATAAATTGAAAAATTCCTATTTGTTCAGTTCAAATTATGTATGTATATAAAGTTGTATTATTTATATAAATTTTGTTGATTATATTATATTTTAAGTTAGCTAACCTATATATTAGGGAATCCTAATTCAATAAATAAATTCAATTCAATTTAAATGGAACATTGACAAAATACAACTAGATTCTTAGGCATTGTATTGGACCATAATTTATAGTTTGATAAGCATATTATGGCAATGGCAAAAAAATTGTCATCTGGTTGTTATGCTATCAAAGTTATTCGAAATGACATCGGTCATCTTATTGCTAGAAAAGCCTACTTTGCTCTCCTGGAATCTCACATCAGATATGGGATAGCATTTTGGGGAACTTGCTCACAAGCGTTGTTTTCAATGATCTTTAATCTACAAGAGAGATACATATGCCACGTTACCCATTAAACTTCATGTAAACTCTTATTCATATCTCAGAGGATACTCATGCTAACATCAATCTTCATGTTGAAATCAACTAGTTCAGTTCATAAGCATAAACTACATTTATTAAAATCTGACACCGCACATAATACTAGGGCAAATAGCCAATATATACCTTTATTAATCCATAGAACCACCCAATGCTAAAATTCAATAGTTTACAGTGGTATGAAAATGTTGAACCATCTAACGAAGCGAATTAAAAATATTCATAGTACTCCGAAATTCAGAAGGGCTGTAAAAACATTTTCAATCACAAGACCGTTTTATGATTTGAGGGAGTCTTTGAACAAAATTTTGAATAGTTGTGACAGCAGTACAAAATATGTCGTATTCATGTCTCTCACTAACTAGTATAAAGTGTAGGTGTGTATGTATGAGTATATATGTATGTACTTATTAACTGCCTGTTTTAAAAATCAAAACATTTCATTAAATTAGTTTATGGTGGATATATGTATATATTATGTTAATATTTTTATAATCTGACAACTTTGTCCTGTTTTGTGTTTATAACCAACATCTGACAATCCTTATTGGTTCGCATAATTTTAATTTTATTTAATTATCATGACCTCCTTCTCATTTTAAGCGGTTACAATTTATGTACTATTACATTTAGAACCTTTGTCAATAATAATTCTATTCTTTAGATAATGAAGCATGCTTTGACTTTGACTTTGAATTTTATCTATTAGTGAAGATCCTAAATATTTTAATTCATGTCATGAAAAAGATAATATATCTATTTATTCATCTATTGACATGAAGTAGTACTAATATTATGTTTACCTGGAGAACCTATTGTATACGTCTAAATTATCTAGAGGAAATTCCACAATAAGGTACCTCAGATATGTTCACTACTTTGGTCGAAAAAAAAACTGATCGTAATTGCTTGGAGATATTTTCTTTATCAAAATAACCATTTAGGGTCAAATTACTCAGAGAATATGCTGAGGAAGCTAAGAGGGCAAAATAAGCACTGTCTGTTTAAAAAAATCTGTTTTTTCGTTAATCAGCTGTCGCCCCTATACGAACGACAACTCTCAGAAGTTGAGAAACTTGTGCAACACGGTTGCCGAAAAACCAGATAAATCAACCAGATAAATTCTCTCGAGGCAAATATCTGGTCGAGGCGGGAATCGAACCCACGGCCTTCCGATCGTGAGTCGGGCGCACTACCACTACTCCCAAACATCAGAACTGCAACACTCTTCTCGACGGGTGTTTCACTAATCAAGTGATAGCTACTTCATCCCCAGGTGTATTGTTCAAAAGTTTTAGATTTATTTTTGAGTTCAAATTTTTTCAAATCGAAATACTTGTCCTTTGTATTGTTGATGGTAGCAGTTTTTGATTACATTTTCTTTGAATTCGGGTATATTTTGAGTTTTTTTTTTAATACTTGCATCTCATTTCTATTTCGTTTGATATTTTTTGAATTCCTCTTTAGGTTATTCAAGTATTTTGTTCGAACATTTCAGAGGAAAATATTTGTACTATAAGAATAAATGTAATGTTTTATGATGAATATTTCATATATTTCAACTAGTGTTCTATTTTATTGAATGACCTAGCAATTCAATTCATTATTCATTTGTTTTAAAATAATATTCATATTTCTGATCAATTCCAGGAATAGTTCCATCATGAGAATGTTCTTTCAATATTTTGAAAGTAACATATATTTCTAGAGGTGTCCTAATGTGCATTATTGTTTAAGTAGAGTGGGAACATTGGCAGTTGGAGTCGATTCAGTCAGAAAAATTAATTTGGTCTAACAACTTTTATGAATGATTCAACATTAAAATACATATACATTAGCAATTCTATACATAAGCATTCATTTGTTCCTACTGTTTGTCTAGTAATCAAAACCATAAAATTCCCCATAACCAGTTCTAATTGATAATGTACAACCTATCAATATTTATTGAATTTTCAAGTTTTACAATTGGGAGTCAAATTGAGTCTAGGATACCTAACCAGATTATCCAGGCTAAGTAGCTGTGGTCCAATGACAAACGTATTGCCTATAACTGTGATGGGCATATTCAGTGGTAGCTGGCAGCAACATGTTGCGACCTTCTAGTTAGTAGACTCAAGAATGAGACCCTATGCTGTGTGTCACTGATATTCATTGTGGGGGAGTGATCAAGAGGTTTTCTCTGATTGGTTCGGCTGTGTCGGATTTAATGGGGCATCGCAGGAGAACCATGTTTTGTTGATCCTTGTGATTTATTTTTTCATTTAAAGTTATTTTAATGTTTCTGAATCATGCCTTCTTGGTTTAAACGCGTATAATAGTAATGTGTGGTGTCTGTTCTGTCGAAAGTTATGAAATACAATTCGATAGAACATACATGCTTCAAACCACACGTTACCAATAAGGAATAGAGATTGATAAACATTGAAATAACTTCAATTGAAAAAATCACAACAATCAACAAAATATGGAATTCAGTTCTCCGCCGATGCCCGATTAAACCCGACACTGACCAAGCCAATTAGAGGAGTCCTCTCAACCACTCCCCCTATATGAATGTCATTGAAATACAGCATAGGGTATCATTAAGTAGTCTATCAACTTGCAGGTCGCGAAAACTTGCTGCTATTTACTGCAGAGGATGCCCTCCACAGCTACCTAGCCCAGATAACCATAGTTCATATTAGTATTTATGTAAATCAGTATTCAACTTCCATTGAGTATGAAGACTCTTTCAATCCTAACCAAATTTATTTATATTCAAGGGATATTGTGATGTCTTCTTGAAGTGTCGGGCGGTGGATGCCGATGGACCACTCGTTAGACTGATGAATCTTTTACTCAACAAGGAGACACTGATGAGTGTAGCCCAATGGATTACTGAGTACTGGTGGGCTGTTCTATTAATGGGAATAGTTTTCATGATTTTCATGGGACTCTTCATCAAGTGTTGTGCTGTACACACTCCTTCTTCTAATCCAAAGAAGAAAAAGGCCCAAAGGATAAGTGATACTTTGAGGAGGCCTATGAATACTCTTCGTCGAATGGTAAGCTGAAATTAATTTTGCAGAATCATTTATATTAAATATTGAACGAAAGTTATTTTTTGTGAGGGAAAACAGATTTTGTCTAAACTTTTTTTTTGTAGTACATTGTATGTTTCAAAAGTCAATCAACAACATTGCTATTTCGAAACTTCTTTGATATCTTTTGTGGAAGTTGAAAAATAAAGAGAATCGGCGAAGAAAAAACTGTTAATATAGTTAGACGTAGGTAGATTTTACCTTCCGAAACTTTGGGATAAGTATTTTTAGGATTTCTTAGCTCTTTTTTTGATAGGCAAAATTATTGAATACGAAAAATTATTGGTGAATAGATTTTTTTATTGAAAAAGACGTTGAATTTACGCAGTAACTTATCAGTGTGAACTGAGAAGTTTGCCCTTTTACACCTGTATAAAATTCTCTGTTATCATTTTTATATTTTGCAGATTGTGGAAGGTGAAAAATAATAAAAAAGGTCTATAAAAAATATGAAGATATTATTAATAGATCATATTATAGATCATATTATTGTTACGTTTCAATTTAGCACTAGATCAAACTGCTCTTATGTGACCTTTCAAAACACTACCTTACCTTTTAAGATTTTTATTCAAAGGATATTAACAATGTAATTGAGTTACAAGTTGATTTTATTCATTTAACATCATAGTAATGGGAATCTTCCGTTCCATAGAAAACCATACCTGAAATGTATAAGAATAAATGTATGCTCCCTGACTAACTGCTTTGACCAGTACTTACGCATTCTCCTATTGCCAATCGACGTTGGAGATCCGAAATTCCTCGCTAGGTTGAAATAGTTGTTATTGTTTGTTTCTCAGTTTTCTTCACCTATCATTTTTTTCAGCCGTTGTCTGCCTTATTCCCTATACCTTTCCGAGAATATTTCTTGCATTGATTGTTATTCATCACTTCCAGAAGGTTTACTGACATATTAGAGCCATATCGCCTGAAAAACAATATTAGTTACCNTAAGATCTATTTGAAATTTGCTAAGTTGTTTAACCCACTCCCGTCTCCACTGTTTAGCTTAGCCGCGGATACCCATCTGTCTTATTTGTTACCGACAGATGATTTAGTCTCCTCTTGTGGTTTGCGAGGTGACATTATTCACTGAAAGGGAAATACAGTAATTATCCCAAATATAGTAATTATAGACATTTTCACAATTATCATTCGGGAAATATGATCTAATTATTCTACAACTATCATTTCCTTCCTTTTCGTTCATTTTTGGGATTTTGCCTGTGACTTTTCTGTGAAATAAAAAAAAAACTGTCATATTGTCAGCAAAATTATGTACTACTATATAGAAATGTGTATTTTCTAAAACTGTATATAGTGTAATATTGATATGCAGGATCTATTAATTTTTTTTTCAATAATGCAGAGGTACCATGGTGGGCAACATCATGCAGGAGCTGCACATGGAGTACCTGGTAGGAATCGACGAGAACCTGGTGGCCGACCTTCAGCTGGTCAGAGTGGTCCTAGACCAGGCTATGGAGAGGGCAGAGGACACTATCATGCTCCAAAAGGTATTTAACTTTTCAAAATTGTATATTGCTTTTACTAAATAATTAGCTACAAGTTTATGGGACAATTTTTTTCATTGGTTAAATAACAAGACCATTGGGACAGACGTTTTTCAATAACATCAGAAATTCCTGCATTTCCACCACTTCCCAACCACATTGTTATTTTCACAACAAGCATATTTACAAGGTATTCCAAACATCTGAAAAACAAAACAGGATACTATCAAAGACTGAATCTAATTTTCATATAGTGTGTCATTTTTGAACCATCGTATATGACAAAAAAATAAATTCATCACATTCAAATTTCAACCACATCCATTTATAATTAATATTAGTATTTATTTATTTCCCAAGAATCTTTTGAAGTTTAAGAAAGGAAAAATATATTTTTCAAAAAGTAAAGTGAGGGATCAGAGAACAATGATAGCAGCAATAAAATAGTTCAAATAGTGGGAATATTTTTTGCATTTGTTTTTCAAAGTATTTTGTAATTCATTATAAGATTTTATACAATATTTGTTCTGGATTTATCGATGCTGAGATTGAGTATCTAGTTGAGTGATTATAGTGGTACTGTTGATTTGAATTACATTTAAACTGGAATGTTTCAGATTCTATTTCACTAGATGATGAGTTCATCTTGAAAGAGATTGAAAATACACTTGTTAGTTTTATTTGAGACTGTTCTATATGGATTGTACAATGAATTGTTGATGGTTGTTGAATGTTTGTACTATGGATTGATTAAATTATATTTTACAGTTAAATAAAATGAATAAAAATACTTTTGTCTAAATACCACTGGAAAATTTTATTTATACGACCGGTTTCGGGTTTGATCCCATTATCAAGTATAAAACTGAAATCTGAATTTTGAAACATCGAATTTTTAGAATTTTCAGGTATGCCGGTTTGATTCTCGAAGATGTTCTTACATTGCAGATTTTTTGTCCAAACAGACGTGTTCCCGCAGTCTTATTTCAAAATTTCTACCGGTTTAGCCTGAAATACTGCAGAGCATTCACCATGGACAAAAAATCTGAAATGTACGAACAATGTATTACATATATGTAATAAAGGGAGAAAAATGAATCTTTTGGAGGCCATGGAAATTAACAAATCAATTGAAAACCAGAAACATATACCCCTAACGAGCAACTTGATTTATTTAGGTCTCTTCTATTGAATTTATGAGTTTATCAATCCCTAGAATTTTCAAGATGGTATTTTAAGTTGGCATCCTGTCTCTCAAATACCTGTCCTTGCAGCATACCTGAAAATTCTATAAATTCGATGTTTCAAAATTCAGATTTCAGTTTCATACTTGATAATGGAATCAAACCCGAAACCGGTCATATAAATAAAATTTTCCAGTGGTATTTAGACAAAAGTGTTTTTATTCATTTCATTTAAGTGATCATGAATTACCATAAAGTAAACAAGTCATCAATCACACATATTATATTTCACTGAGTTTCTTAGAAAATTGTTCCTGTTCATATTTTTTAATAATAATGTGAGTTTTATTGATCATATCCTAATATCTACTTCTCACTGTTTCTTGCATCCATATAAGATTTGGAATAAAAAGGAACAAGAAATGAAGTAATTGTCTCAGAAATTATATCTTTTTTTTAATAAGTTATTTTCTGATTAAGCTTAAATTATGAACTTGTTTCATACTGGGTGTGAAAAGCATAAAATATATTTATTTGATAGTTCTGAAAAAACGTACACTAAAATACCAGTTATATCATCAAACCTGATAATAATAAAATAGAGAAATCAATTTATATTGTGATCCCATATCTATATTTTTAATTATTGTTTACATAATACATACCTTGTTGTTTACTCAGTACATAACTGTTTTTCCTATTCCGGAAAGAATGATGATCAAATTTGAAATGAATGAAAATAGTTTAAAATTTTCCAGATGCCTTGAGAAATTTTTAAGAATGACATAAAAAATTAACTACAAAATTATGTTGATTTTGGAATAGTTCATAATTTGAGAAACAAAATATAGGCTGTCCAATTCTATTTTAATTGTTTGAAATTGGTTTTACTTTGTGATAGATTAGTTTTGTTTTTATTTATACATATGTTTGAGATATTGTCAAAGATTATGTTCATATTGTCTTTGAACTGTCAGTTTCTGCGACCATAACCTCAGAATATTTAAAAGGAGATGGAAAGACCATCGATCACATTTAACTGGCTTTTCATCGTGATGTATCTGATGTACACCGCTTGGTTTTGACGATAGATATACAAACATGTTGTCGACAACTCAGTGGAGAAGCCAATGAATTCACGAATGGTTAGATGTTTATCAATGTACACCGATGTACCAACAGTGGATTTTCAAAACGACATTTTGTTTTGTTAATAGATTATTCGATCACAATTTGCATTTATTAGGGAAAATTGAAAATAATACGATATTTTGAAAAATACTGTTATGTAGTTTGGACACTTTTCTTTGGAGAAATTGACCCACTGGAAACTTTCAAACTTGCCATTAATTATGTACTGATATTGAAGTATAATGTTTTTAGTGTTTATGAATGTTCTTCATCTGTACTATTGAAATTTTGTCTTGAGGTTTTATTTTTGTAAATTATTTCAGTATACTTTCTTACATCAATATCACATTTTGATTCCACCATTCCAAATTGAATATATCACCAGGAAAAAACAACTGAAATATAATTTTTGTATATTGCTTGGTTCATTCAATCTTTAATATTATATGCATAGACCAAAAAATATTACAATAATTGATGGCTAAGAAATGGTTTCAGAAAAATGACACCCACGATACAGTGAAGCGTCAACCTTCACACATCTTACAAGTGTCGCATCATATTTTTCTTTTCAATTCGTTTATTTTTTATACATTCTCCGAATTTTAGGAAAAAACTGTTAGAGAAACATGCCGTGATATATTTTTCAACTAAAGTTTGTGGAGATCAAATAGTGAGGTGTAGTTTATGAAATTACTATGGATCTTCAAGTAACGGCTGAATCAATCAGAAAAAAAACACATTTTTTTGTTTCCATTTATAATTCGTTTTGCACTTGTAACGAAAAATATCCTTTAAAAAAGTGCAATATCACATTACAGCTATTCTGGGAATATAGGTACAGACGTAATCGTGGCTCAAAAAAAAGCAGAAGAGAAAAAGCAGTCTTTGACGTAAAAAATAGCTGTTGCATCAGAACAATATATCCTTACATACCATATGGACTGTTTTATTTCCAGATAGTTGGTTTTACACATTAGTCAAAAATTTGAACGAGAACATGTTTCATGGACACTTTGTATACATTATGTATAGTATTAGTAGCCCACCACTAATATATCTACTCATATTTCGATTTCAAAGTCAAATTCAATAAAGTTAAGAAATATGAATTTTTTTATTTGGAATACATTGTATCTATATCTCTTGAAATAATTGTGGAGATAAAAAAATAAAGATAGTTCATAATCATAGTGGTTGAAAGTTTGAGAAACATATGGCTTTTTAATGCTATGTTTATTAAATAGTGAAAATAATTGGTTTGACAGTAATATACACTAGCAGGGAATCAAAAATGTATTACATTCCCTGATGAATGAACATGAACATGATTTGAGATTAACAAATATATCTCAATTATTTGTTTGGGCATTATATAGTATTAAAAACTTTTCACGACCGTTTTATTTCTCATATCATTGAAAATATTATTAACTTGTTTTTTCATTCACTGTATTCTTCCTAAGGAAATTTTGATTAGGCAGTGGTCATGAACCAACATTCAACAATTTATAATGATGACAAATATTTATTCATAAAAGGAGAAGTTGAACCTTAGTAAAAAATTCTTTTGTCACATTGGCTCTCGAAAAAGGGTTCTTATTATTTATTACTAAAAACAGAAGTGAGATATTGGATAGTTGTTTGAAAGACCTTTCAATTATCCATCCAACAAACAGTATCCTTCTTTTTTTTTGAAAAGACATACATTCTGATGTATGTGATGATCATACTCTAGAATTCTCTATTCCAACATAAAGTTTTAGCTGAAAGTAAACCCAAAAATTTATTGGATAGAAGAGCATTGAAATAAATTTTTAACGAAGTACCCTCGTCAAGCACCCTCATCCTTAATAAAACTTAATAGCACGTCTTTGGCTTAGTTGAAAGTATGGCAATATTTTTTAGTCTGTTAGATTTGACCCATCCTCGATAACTTACATTTATATAAAAAGATGGCCTTTCATGAACAACTAATATCTTCACAATATTTCGTAATGACATGAAATAACTATTAGTATCACCTTGTATATATTACCGCACAAAACACTAACAAAAATTAACACTGATCCTTTCTCTTATAATACAATAGCCTATTCTCCACTAGCCACCGCTCCTCCAGCAAATAACAGTCGTCATAACCATCCGGAAGCTTATGCCGGAGCCTATGAAATGAGAAACAAAGTCTGACAAGACGGAGATGCTGGGGAAGCTCCTCGGGTGTCACCGCCGCCCGACTACCCTGGCACTCCCATGGCCAACGTTCAACCGGAAAATTTCCCCCTCGTTCATCATGCCACCGACAGTCCGAAGAGGATCACCAATTCTTTGGAAGAAAGTGGCACAAACTCGATCCAGTAAGCTAATCACTTCAAGTGCCACTTTTGACCTTCCACATTAGAGGTTCAATATGGGCTGGAATCTTTTCAAGTTGGTTCTTATGATTTGCCATTCTTTCAAATTTCAGACAGTTTACCTGAAAAATGCATTTATCAGGATCAGGAGAATTATCAAAAGGGTTCAATTATGTTATTTTCCATTGGCAAAAACCTTTTCAATGTTTTATTCCAGATAATAAAATCAAGTTCCTTGGTAGTTCAGTTGTCAATTTATTAGTTATATTTTTTACTTCATTTCTTTTAAAGTAAGTTTAGCTACAGGGTCACCTTGAATTATAATTCAAAAACAATTGATAAACTCACTTATTGAATCAACAAATAAAATACACAAATACTTGAATCACAGTGAATCTGGCTGTCACAGTCCACTTCTGAATATGATATATAAAGTGAAAGATAGTAGGAGAGAATCTCTTAAAAACGTTGAAAGTATTGATTACTGAAAAAGACTACAGTGAACGAAAAGTATTAAGCATTAACTATATCAATAATTATCTCATATCTGTAAGTTGATTAGTATGACATAACAACAAGAATTGAAATAAATATTTTTTCAATATTTGCACTTTAAATGCTAATGAACACCATCTTTGAATACCTTTTATCAACCCCTCCTATTGTATAGATTCTCTATTGTTATCTTTCAATATATATGATTTATTTGTTTGTTTATTTCTAGAATTCTTGAGATGAGTGTTTTAATTAATTTTGATACCTATTCACTTTAAGCAATTTATATTGTAGAATCTAAAGATAGCAACCTTGTGCTATTCATATGCCATTAAAAACCAAATAAAAATGATATAAAGAACTAATTAATTCTTGGCCAAATTACTGAGGAACTTGATGGGAATAACAGTTGAGAAATAAAAACAATAATAGTTTCAGATGATAGTTAGTTGTGCAATTGTTTGTATTAGAAATAATATGTTCGGGATGCTTTCTAGAAAAAATGTTCATTTTAACTCCACTTTCTTGCAGTTTGAAAATTGTAGTAGTAAAATACTTGCAAATAGTCAAGATACTTAATTTACTATTGTTTTGATGATGATATCATGAACTGTCTACCCCATTCAAAATTTCAGCACAAAAATTGAAGGTATATTGAACCATTACCAGAATGCATATCAAATCTGCTTTTATTTGTGGCTTTCATAATGTTTATTGAACAATGAAAAATATAAACCACTCACTAAAAAAAATACAAAAAACACTTTGTTCAAACATCAAATGTTTCACTATATTGATGAACAAAATGCAATGCAAAATGGATCTTCTTGAAATCCAGCTCGTATTAGGGACCCCTTCCGAATTAAGACTTTGAAGTGATGGCCTTTGTTGCCTAGACTTTTTTTATTCGAAACTGTTTGGCCAACGCGCTCTGTGATTTATAACCAACATGTGAACTTTCCGAAGTGCGTGTGACAAGACTTTAATATTAATATTTTAATGAAAACGGGTGCATTTTAAGTAATAGTCACCTTTAATTTTAAGGTTGATTTTTATGTCTTTGAAATTGATGATGAAATTTTGTATGAATATTATGAACTTGATTGGTTGGCTTCCTTCCTGTTTTGACGAAAGGCTGATTTTTATGGTAAGCTTAGTTATTTCAGAAGTTCCGATTTGATGAAATTCGTGAATTACCACATAGGTTGTTAACATAGAGAGTCCCAGTTTAGGTTTGGGGCTTTTGTATGTGTTGTAAATGTTTGTTTATCAACTCAAAAGTAAACAGAGAATGTTCAATTTTTAACTTACAAAATATCAAATCAGATAATTTATGTGCCTGACATGTATTTGGCATTTTTTTGTAACTGGTTTTATCATTTATTCATGATTCACGAAAATATTAGATTTTTTTCAATTCAAATATTATAATGTTAGTTCACGTAATTTTGTCAGATTTGCTTTGGACTCAAGTTTTTGATAAATAACTAATTTGTTCATTTTATCTGTTGCCTTTTTCTTACTCCATTCAATATACATTAAATTGAACGATCAATGAAATGAAAGTATTGAATACAAATAAGATTTTTGAATTTAATTACAAATTTCATAAGACTTTCGAATGGTGATGTTTTTTTGTGAAAATACTGGATAGTTTTTCAATTTCAATGGATCACATACTCATCTTTATATTTTTCTTCAAAATATCAATTGTCTGAATTTGGATCATTTTTGGAAAAACATATTGGAATTTTGACAATTGATGCAGAATTTGTATACTTTTTTGAAGGCGAATTGGTATCTGTATAACTATTTTTCATGATACAGACATTTTGTTGATTGAAAAAATGATGTCGAAAGATTTTGAACAATTTTTGAAAACAAGTTACTATTTTCTCAATATTTTCCATAGTCAATCGATTTTTATATTGAGTTTTTGTATTCTGTTATTTATTCTACTAATTTCATCTTATTCTTCTAATAGTACTTTTACATAGTTCTCTATTTAGGTTTCATACCGTATTATACTCACTAGACAATATATTTTATGTATTGGAAAAAAAGGGATTAATTCCAGTATTTTTCTTACTGTGGAGTTTTCAGCTAGGGGCCAAACATTGATTGACTATTTACTGATTTTGAATTGGAGTAAAGTTATTAGACCAATTTGTAAGATATTGTTTTTATCTCATCTACCCTTGTGAACAAATGTAAGTTTGCGATAAGTTTTTTTTACAAAACTGCATCAAATATATTGTAATATCTCCTACTCTTTGAATAATTTTTGTTCTATTGTAATCAGCATTTAGTTATTGAAAAATATTGGAATGTCTTTCATTTGGATTTTATCAGACGTAAATATATTTTTCAATGGCAGCATGTTGTTAGTGATTTACAATAATTTTATTGTACATTATTTAAATAAGTAGGATAATTTCATTGAAATTTTTAATTTTATGTTACAGATTATGTAATTATTGTTCTCAATCAGAAAGTTGTTTCGAGTGTCAAATAACTTATAATCTTTTAATTGATAAATAATTTGGATTTCAACAAATGCAAATAATATTCAGGTTTAAGGAAATTGTTTTTCTCATATTGTGAATCATTGTAAAATTACTCAATATTCCACAGATTCTAGAATAAACCAAAAACTCCCATTTTGTGACTAATTTGTCTGAGAAAATACTATTTTTGTATTCAATACATTTGGAAATTGTCTTTGTAACGTTGTCGACTTTTTTGGAAAATGTGATAACAAAAATTAGTTCTTTTATTATCTCAATAATTGTGTTTTGAAAACAAGTCAAATAAAGATAATCTATATTTGATGCTAACCTCTGTATTGAAAAATATTGTAAAAAATACTATATGTAAATAAAGGAATAAAATAGTTGTTTTCATATGAAAATAGTGGTTTGATTTCATGAACTTTCTTTTTTTTACAATGATATATAATTGAATTTTTCTGCAAGAAAAATATCTTCATGAATACAAATAATACATGATTCGACACAGTGTGTATGTCTTTCCATCCAGAGGTCATGAGTTCAAATCCCTTTTCGACCAGATATTTTTCTAATTAGAGGTGGTTATATGGTTTGTGGTATTGCAAATATCCACGATACTCCCTAGAGGGAGAATCGGGAGAACATGTATTGGTGTCAGAGACACCAAATAAAGTAATACATGGTCAAATATAAAATACAAAAAACTAATGTTGAATGAATTAAATGAACATTATCAGCCGATAATATCTCAACAGTAAGATCTCAGTGAAAAAAGGCTCAGGACGAAAAATTCTCGTGAAAAACATTTCGTTGAATAAAATATCGTACACAAACTTCTTTAATTTCGGCGTTTTATGTATTTCCTTCGTTGATCGCTGTACATACTGTATTTGACTGTTTGCTCGTGTTGTATCGTCTACATTATCCATCTAATTATTTAGTTCGATTTATATCATTATTCAAGACATGCTGTTGACATTGTTTTCTTCTACATTTCATTCATTTTCTTGAGATGTATTTGCCTGGAGATGTTGATTACCGTGATGTTCCAGGCTGAGTTACTATTATCTGAAATATTCTTTCTGAGATGAAGAGATTATTGTCCGAAATATTCTTCCTGGGAAAGTCTTGGGAAATATAGGCTGAAACCGCATATGCATATGGATACTAATCTACTTCCAATCGCCTCCGGTATTCCCTTAGTAGAACAAGGAACTCAAGTCATTATTCTGATCGTCACTGTTAGTATTCAACTTAAGTCCAGTCCTAAAAAAAGTTTGGCTCTTGTATAAATCGAGGTCTTTGATGTGTTGAAGAGGATCCCGTTGTTTTTGTGTAGCCTCTGAAGTGAAGTGATCTCTATCATGTGGGCATCTAACTAAACATCTCAATGATGAAGTTATGTTAAAAAAAGCATAGTGTATCAGCCACTGGGTAGCTGCAAAGTGCATGCAGAGAGTGTGTTAAGATGGGAAAATTAATGTGGCGAAGAAAATGGAACAATACATAAACAAACTTTTTCCAGTTTTTTTTTATGAGAGGTTATCAGATTATCTAGATGGGCATTTGAAACACTTGTCTTTGACAGAAACAGGCAAATTATAAGATATTAGACATAAAAAAACGTTTGCTATTCAGAAGAGTTATGGTTTAAATAATTGACATGAACTTTCTCAATGTTGATGTATTCAAAAATTTCAGTACACTGAAAAACTACAATACATTAACTTTATTCACGAAAATATAATGCAAAAGTCACGAAGTTGTTTTAAAAGTTTTTTACGTTTTGATAGCTTGTGTTTTTGTAGCTTCATATCTCAATGAATATTTATTTTACTATACTGATTGATAGATAATTTTGTAGTCTATATATTGATGCTGTTCATTTTTTTCCAAATTTAAATTTTTTGTCCCTTTTCAGCTCATTTCGGTCTATTTTTCTCTACGAATTCAATTTCAACCAAAGCGCTGCCGAAACAGCCCGAAAAATTAACCTGGTATTTGGCAATACTAGTGTTAATAAACGCACTGTTTGACGTTGGTTTGTCAAATTTTATTTTGGAGATTTTAGCCTCGAAGGTGAGCCCTGGTGTGGTCGACCTATAGTAATCCAGGCCGAGGATTTGAGGACCCTAGAGAGTGACCCATCACAAATGGTGTGTGGGATGATGGAAGAACTAGGCGTCAGCCTAGTTCAAAAGCTCAAAAAGTGGGGCACCACGATTTGAATGATCGACAGCAATTGTCACGTTTTGAAGTCTGTTCTTCTATGCTTTTGTGCAACCAAAACAATCCTTTTTTGGATTGGATTGTCACGTGTGATGAAAAGTGGATCCTCTATTATAACAGGAGATGTTCAGGATAGTTGGACACCAATGAGCCAGCCACCCAGGCAGTTTCCAAAGGCAAAAACTCACCAAAAAAGACCATGGTTATTGTGGCAGTCAACGGCTGGTGTGATTCACTATAACATTCTGTAACCGTGCCAAATAATCAAAACAGAGTCCTACTATGAGTAAATCGACGAAACGTACCAAAAATTGAGTCACCAGCAGGTGGCACTGGCCAACAGAAGAGGTCCGATCCTGTTCCACGGCAACGCCTGTCGGCACGTTTCACAAATCACCATCGGAAAATTAACGAATTGACGTCGAAGTTCTGCCTCACCTAACATACTCCCCAGAACTTTCGGCTATACTAACTACCACCTTTTAGGGCACTTCGATAACTTTGTCACTAGTGGAACCTTGGCCAATCAGGACTAGACAAAAATTGTTAACGTCGATTTTATCGAATCCCCAGCAAACAGTTTTTATGCTAACGGAATTTATTGACTTGTGTTACGTTGGCAAAAGTGCGCTGATTCAAATGTCGCTTATTTGATGGAATTGAATAATCATTCACTGAGATATTACAGTATAAAGCAGACACATAAAAAACGGACAAAAGTTTTGAAACAATCTAATAGCACAAACCATGAAGACACAACTATCAATAACCATTCTCATAACTCTCATCAACATGAATTAGCAGCTCACCATAGCATGATCTACCGACTCATTAGTATCCCGATGTCCACAGGAATTAAATTTGATATGCAACCCAAACATTATTCATCACATTCTTGACAGAAAACTTTTCAAATAAGCCATTAACCAAGTATATCCCCGCATTAAAAGTAACACTAACACCTACAAAACACATATACAGAAAAATTACCAGATGAAATAAAAAGACTACTAACAAGAGAACATTAACATATCCAGACATGTAACTCTTTGGGTAGACTTATAAAGAATAAGTCAAAAACGGACAAAATAACAAATCTGGGGTCTACAAACCAACATGTGGATCGTGTCCAAAAGTTTATATAGGGAATTACCAATTGAAAACCTAGATATTTGATACAAGTGATAAATTCAATAGAGTCATATGACAATATGACATGAAGGTACAACCATGGCTTTCGTTTTTAGAACATTTAAATATAATTTATTGAGTCTCAGATAATCATTGTTCAAAAAGATCAGACATTTTGTTAACAGCACTTTGGATATTAGAATCTCTGCAGGCCTGCATTGTGTCGTCCGCAAACAAGTTGATAAATTCACAATCCACAAGCAGTTTAATGTCATTAATATACAATAAAAACAACACTCCCTCGAAGAACATCCTAGCGGAACATAAATTTTGTCAGAGAACGAATCATTAACTCTTACTCCTTGGTTTCTATTATTGGAATAATTTCAAAACCAGTTCTACACTACATCATCAATACTATAAGGTTTCAGCTTTCTTAATAGTATTTCTCTGTTGATAGTTTCAAAAACCCTTTTCAGGTCTAGGAAAATTGTTATTACATATCTGCTATTAGAGACATTATTTTCAAGTTCGAGAAGTACACGTGGCAAAGAAGCTTTGCATGAGTGAGTTTTTCTGAAGCCAGACTGATTTTTATAACTTCATTTTTATCAATATGTTCGATTGGTTGGTTATAAACAGCAGTTTCTAGAACTTTTGCGATAGGCGGCAGTGTATCATGTGCTTTATTTAATAATACAACCTAATGGTTGTTTCAAAAGTTTTGTCCATTTTTAAAAGTCTACTTAAAACTGTGATATCTCAGTGAATACTTATTCAATTCATTCACAATAAGCGCCATTTGAATCGGTGCGCTTTTTCCAATATAACACAAGTCGATTGATTCCGTCAGCATAAAAATTGTATGCTCTGGATTCGATGAAGTCGACGAAGGCCGTTTTTGCCTGGTCCTAATTGGCAATAGTTCTGGGGAGTTTAATAGTTAAGGCAGAACTTCGACGCTCAATTCGTTAAATTTTCGGACGGTGACTTGTGAAACATGCGGATGGGCGTTTTCGCGGAGCAGGATCTGACCTATTCTGTTGACCTGTGCCGGTTGCTGCCGTCACAATTTTCCATTTCCTCACACTGTCCTGAACGCCTCCTGTTGTAGAGTATCCACTTTTCATGACACGTGATGATCCGATTCAAAAAAGGATCGTTTTGATTGCGTACAAGCAAAGAATAGATCTCGAAACGTGACAATTTCCTGCGATCGTTCGGCATCATTTTTTCGAGTTTAATGACCTTTTCAATGCGTTTGAACCATCAAAAACCCTCATGGGAGCTGACGCCCAGTTCTTCCGCCATCCCACGCACCATTTGTGATGAGTAAGATTCCACCAGGGTCTTCGAATCCTCATTCTGGATTACTGTAGATCGACCACTTTGGTGTTTATCTTCGAGGTTAAAATCTCCGGAATGACATTTTGCAAACCAACGTCGAACATTGCGTTCATTAACACTATCATTGTCAAATGCCTGGTTAATTTTTCGGGCTGTTTCGGCTGCGCTTTAGTACAATTTGAATTTGTAGAGAAAAATTGGCCGAAAATCGCTCAACGACATCATATAGTTATGAGCCGAAGATATGCATGAGAAATTTGAAATTTGCAAAAAAATGAACAGCAGCAATATTGTACAAAATTCTCTATCGATCAGTATAACCCACGACACAGTAGAATGAATATTTATTGAGATATGGAGCTACAAAAACACATGACATCAATACTGATAAAACTTTTTAAAGAACCTAATCGTACTAGTTACTTTTTGAAAATGTATAATTGTGCTAACTTTTAATTCATCAGGAATTCTACTAGTTTACAAAATCATGAGCAGAAGTTTCAAATATGACATACGAATTTTTATGCATATTACATTAGTTTTCCAAAGATTTTAATCAAGTTGTACAAAAAGTGGGCCCGCCTAATCAATGGCAATTACTTTGAAGACTGGTGGAAAAAGTATTTAATAATAATAATAATGTCTTTATTTACTCAACAGATAGCTGTACAGAATACCAAATATAAATACATTTTGAAATAATTATTAAATGAATAAAACAGAAACATGATAAATACCCAAGTACTTGTTTCCTTATAACAATACACATATATGAAATACATTTTAAATAGATCTATAGAAATTATAATGAATTTTCAATGCAGTAATATATTGAAATAAAATAACAGGTAGGTATATAAACATTTTAATAAGATTTCAATAAGATTTCAATACAGTAATATAATAAAAAAGTAATGAGAAACGAGAATTTCATTTGCGGAATATGCATTAAACATATTCGTGAAAGTTGTGTCAAGGTCAAGTAAGTATTTGATGTCCTAGTTCAGCATTTGTATAAAATATCTCCCATGTTTTATTGTTTCAAGTACCGAATTATAAAATATTAACCAAACATATGAAAAGGCTTGTTGAGAAATTGATTTCTTTAGAATGTACTGACAGGTGAGTACATTTCGATTTCGTGTATTATATTCGTGTTCTGACTTAGCTGGTTCTGAGTTACAGAAAAGAAATCTGGCGTTTATACACAGGTAATATAGCTGTCCAATATGAAAAAAATTCAATCTATATATACAGGCTATCGGAAGAAAATCTGGGGGTTAGTTGATAATCAGCCTAATGAATCATTTTTGGATTAATTCCAAAGAATTCAAATATATCCTAGATGCGTTTCCCCAAACCGTAATCGCGTATCTCAAATGACTTTCAACAAGAGAATAATACAGTTTTTTTCAATCCGGTGATGGGCAAACATTTTTTAAGAGTTCAGAATTGATACATAATTTTGCGCAGTTTTTTGTTTATGAAGTTGATATGAGAGTTCCACCTCAAGTTGTTATCGACATATACACCTAGATATTTAATGTTTCTTGCAGATTAAATATAATATAATGTTTTTTCAGGTAGGTTGACTACAATTTGATGGAATAGTGCAGCTCCGGATTTATTGGAACTGAAGGTGATACGTTTAGTGTTTTCCGGATTGACAGTTGAAAGTTTTTGGCAAAACCACTCATTTATTAGAATTAAATCTTTTTCCACCATGTTTTATAACTTGTCCGCTTGTTTTATAACTTGTATCCGCCTCACAGAATATTGTAGTACAATCGGCGTATCCAATTACTCTTCAGTTCAAACCCATCGTTGACATAGAGGTTAAAAAGAATAGGACCAAGAACTGTACCTTGAGGTACACCACATCTAATATATAGGTCATCACCTACTTTCACTACTTGTTTTCTTTTTTCTAAATAACTACTCAGAAAATTGAGACATTTTCCTTGAATTCCTTTCCTTTCTAATGTTTGTACTAATATAGAGTGATCCACAGTATCAAAGGCCTTGCTTAGGTCAATAAAGAGACAAAAACAAGGCTTTACATTTAGAAGGGCTTTATATAAGGAATATTGGTCTGTAATTAGTCACAGAGCTTTCGTCCCCGTTTTTATATATTAGACACATTATTGACTCCTTGAACACATTAGTCCAAACCCTAATGTAGGTGTTAATTATATATTTCAGAGGTTCAAGTATATTATTTTTAATTGGCTTCATCACTTTGGCCCTGATTCCATCGGCCCCCGGTGACTTGTTATTTTTGAGTTGATGGATATAAAAAATTTCCTCACTATCAGCTTCTCTCAATATGATTGAATTTGGTATCGTCACTGATTTAATTTGGACATTAGGATTTTTCATTATTTTTTCTGATAGAACCTTACCCATTTCAATAAATGTAGAGTTGAACTTATTGGCAATTTCGATTTTATTAGTTGATATTTCGCCGCGATTATTTTTCATTGACCCTATAACTTCAGTTTTAATTTTTTCACCGGTATGCTTTTGGATAATATTCCACAACTGTTTTGATTTATGTCCATTCATTTGAATTTTATTTTTGTACTATTTTTGTTTGGTTATAAATATTAAATTAGTTAATTTATTTTTAAAATTGTATAATTACTTTTAAGCGAAATGTTGTGTGGTTCTTTTAAAGTTTCTTTGAACATTTTATTATTTATCAACTTCAATAGCGAATCTGTCATGTATGGTTCAATTTTTGTGTTTTTTCTGAATACTTTTTTCATTAAGAGTATGAGTGAATATATTTGCGACAACATTAGGATTTGTTTGTTCATAGATATCATCCGAAGTTGTGCTTTCTAAGATGGTATAGAGTTTTTTCTAATTGATGTATCTAACAGTTTTAATATCTTTATTTTGTTGTTTTCTAAAATTTGAAGAATAGCGGTTGCATGATTAGTTTTATTCATGTCGAGAACTAAGGGTAAAATCATTTCCTCAATTCCAGTTTCTTTTGATAACATAAAAATATGGTCTATTATAGGCATGATTTGTCTCTAGTTGTGATTTTCTAGATAAGTTTGGAGATTTAAATAGAAAATTTTGATGTCGCATGCTGGAGATCTGTAATATTATGTGATTTCATGTCATTTACCAGAACAGGAGATCGCGCTGGCCATTCAACGATCCTCGCCGCCATATCCATCGATTGGAAAATATTGCATAGAGGTATTGCCGGACATTACCATATTATATTCACTGGAACTTGAGGGTTTCCTGGATCATGATATAAATTTTCTAAATTTGGAATAACATCAATTTGAAGTAGTACCAAATAATTATCGCCATTCAAGTTGCCCTCAATGATAAAGGGGCCANATAAAATGTCCTTTTCAAAATAACATTTAAACAAAATTTGTTTTCATGATATTTCAATTATCTTTGCATCATACAGAATATATCGATGTAAAATTTATATCAATAACCCCAGTCCATCACCTATTAATACTGTCTAACGCAACATAAGAAAAACCGTCGGCCGCCTCTTTTGATGTCCTTTGTGCAAGTTAGCGGCGTCCTCAAGGGGCATAGCGAAAAGAAATATCTCAGTGACTTTGTGGATAAATTGCAGTGACACTTGCTTGAGACGACTATGTCGCTTTCTTTGATGTACTGGCATGTTTGCATTCTTGAAATACTTTGAATACCTTTGTTGATATCCTATACCCTTTCATTTGATACCCATATCATAGGGTTGCATGATATGGGTATCCTGGGTAAACCGCCATATTGGATGTAGAATGGTTTCACTTGGCTTACCATGCATGTCATCTCTAAAAATGTATGCAAAATTTCATCTTTATAGGTTCAGGATAATTGCTTTCAAATTCAGTTGCAAGATTTGTCCCAAACTAACATATGAACATTGCCAAATCAAACAAAACCTTGTGAAAAATAAAAATTGCAATGGAAAACTTTACCTGAATTACCATATATACATACATACAAACAATACCAGCTCAGGGAAACCTTGTAATGATACAAAAACGCAGATATATATAAAATTGTATTATGGTGATTATCAAAACAGGATATATAATATTCAGTGCATTAGAAATAATGAATTTATTGCATAAAAAGAAATTTGTAATAAAAATCGAACACAATAAATATTTTCAAACATAAATAAATTTGAATACTATAACAAAATGAAGACGTTAATTATATATACACCTAATAATAATGAAATTTAGTTATATATTATTTTACATCCTTCACAAGTTAATGAAAAATCTATGATAATTTGAAACTGATTTATGATTTCAATGCAATGCCACTTTTTAAGAAACGGGAATATATCAAGTACGTGGGGATTATTTTAATTCCAATATTGTCAAAAAGAAGTAATCACATTTAACCAAAAAAGGTGTTTGTAAATTCAAAATTTGGTACTGATTTTAAGCCATTGATCTATAAATTATTGTTTTCTTGCCAAACAAATATTAGAAAGCTGTTGCAGTTGTTTCCAACTAGTGTTATATTATTGAATACCAAGGATTAATTGTGACTATAAATATTTGTTTCAAGAATTAAATCTAGTACCATATTTATATTAGGAACGTGCAAGACCAGCTTTTTTCTTTTGATAAACAATATTGTCACTCCGACTGTGGTAATATCAGTAAACGTGGCCAAAAAGAGAAACCCAGGACTGAATATTCAGATATGTTACTGGTACTAACAATTGTTTTCATTTTTTGATCAGTCTTATTCAAATTATAACCACAAATTGTTCATCAACTCAATCAATAAACTGTTGGAGAAATTTATTTCGATTGAGAAGTGAATATTTAATCTTTGTACTATTAATAATATTGAATTAATGAAATGTATTATACAATGTAAAAATCTTACATATTTTGCTCCAACTTATAAACGTCATGATAAGCATTTCGAATTAGCGCATAAGGGAAACAAGATTCTAATAAATCCATTGTCAAAAAGGGTGACTCTTGAACTATCTGATCAAGCAATAAATACACAGACTCTCTGTTTTTGATTACCTCCTTGTCTGCCTCCTGACCCAATCTCAATAAACTAGAGGAAGCCAGAGCCAAAAATTCCTTCATACGATCTTCAATGTCACCCTGTCCGCAAATCGTGAACAGGGCTCCAAAAATATTATTTACAGCCAACGCCATGCAATGGATATTATTGGTATGGCCTTCAAGAGAAGCTCTGTAGAATGACTGTTCCGACTTTGCAAGTCTGGGAATGGAAACTGCTACAAATACCATCAATAAACAAACCAGAAGATGCTCATTCTCACCTTCAGTTTCTTGCTTTTGGAGTTTAAGGGCTGATATTAAAGTAGGATCTACTTTGCAGGTTAAACCTGCTGCAGAAGTCATCTCACTAACAATTTTCATTGGATCACCGCTTGGTAGGTGATGTCTGAAATCCAAAATAGAACTTACTAAAAATGGTATTCTTTGCTCTAAAACGTCTGTCAAACAAGACTGTGATAGATGTCGGAAGCTCAATATAACCCCTACAATGGTCATTCTTTGCAGAACATTGTCAACATTGCTGAGTTTCTTGAACTGTTCTTTCATGATTTCAGGCTTGTCAAAATTGGTACGTAAAGACAAAAGGACATCTTTATTCATTTCAGCCAATTTTTTGAGCTCAATCACTTGACTAGCTATATGCCACATCAGAGTTTCACTCAACTGCTTCATACCATAAGGTCCTATCAATTCTGCAAGAGCTCTCAGTTCATTAACATCTGAATATTCCTCTGGATTGAATGGTACAGATCCTTCACCTGTTAGACTGACAAAAGACCTTTGATTCATGGAAAATATTATATTACCACCACTGACACGCCTCAACAGTACTTCTGAGTACCACTGTGTGTAAATAGCGGCAATTGTTTTTTCTCCATGACTATCAATTGGTTGTGTTTGCTGCAAAAGACAGTTATTGAAAACCCGAGTTATGTCAATGTGAACATAGTTTTCAACAGTCTGCAACACATTCATATAAGATCTAACACAAACAAGCAACTCGGATGGTTTGGCAATTTCATTTGTGTCAGAGTTGAACATAACCATTCCAACCAGGGCTTTTGCAAATCGGTTTTCTAAATGTTGATGTAAATATTCCCTCGGGGCAAACGTATATTCCCAAACGTTAATGTTTGAGAAATAATTTATAGCATAACACAGTTCGGTTAATGCCATATGTAGCTTATCCATTGTGGTTAAGTTTTCTCTAGTTTTCCTATAACTTTCCTTACCAGGTTTTTCGAATTCAATCGCATTTTTCTTGTTTTTCTCCTTCTTTTTTCTGTTTATTTGTTGAGATATCAAGTGAGCACAGTTCTTTGGGAGAAGCTTATCACTCATTTTACACTGTGCGTCACAAATCGCAGTTATGATATTTTTAGCTTCTTTTGCCATTTCATCGAGGAACATATTGACAACAGAAAGACTTCTTTCACGAATATGGTGTCTTTCTTCAGGACAAAGTTCATGTGTGCAATGTTGAAAGTGACTACAAATTGATGGAAAAGCTACTATATACCGGTTTTGTGCAGGAAATTCCAGGCACATATGGAACTGATCTTCAAAAATTCTATTGTAAAAACAAAATATTGATAAGTCTGATGTTTCTCTCAGCATTTCATCCAAGTTATCGACCATTTTAGTGTGGAACTGAACGGAATCAAGAAGTTGGGCAAGATTTTTATTATCCATAAGTTTCATAGTTGACCTTGCAGTTGAAGTGTATGCTTGTAACCTGAACCAGTCTAAGCGGAAAGCAAAAAAGTTGAACGTTTCATTTTCTTCAACTTGCTTAACCGATAAATTGGCTATAGTACTGCACAAAGAAGAAAGAATGAGTCCTTCATCTTCGGGACAGGATTGCAGTTTCTGCATCATTTCTTTCAATGTGATGGCATCCCAATGTGACAGATATTGAACATAATATCTTTGCATTACTTGGCTATACTTTCTCACCAATACTCTCAAATCTTCCATATGGAAGAGGAGCTCTGGTAAATGCCTATCCACAAGATCCTCTGTGGATTTTCCTTTAACTTTATGTGTTGGTGGATTATCATTGTGACGTAATAACCATAATACTTCATCTCTAGAGTAGCACAAACCCATAAACACCATCAAAGCTTTTGGACCAAGTAAGCCTGGTTGATCCATGAAAATCAAGCCCAACTCTTTTAGAGCAGTACGTAAAAACTTGCGTCTTTCACGATGATTATAACCTGCCTTTTGAACTGCATGATTGTAAGCATCTTTAACTTCAGAAATTCTTTTACTATACCCCTTCAAAGTATCAAAAAATGAAGTGATATATTGGTGAATGTATACCACTTCATCTCTAAAAAGGGGAATCACCCAAGAAGACTCTAATGCATTTAAAAAGAGTTTGTTAAAATGGTCTTGTTGTAGAAGGACATTGTGTATCAAAAGCAAGCCAAATACCACCCACTTTTCCATGGTATCTAGGGACAGGAATTCGCAAGACATTTTATCAGATAACACCGGTTTCAACAACATAGATGGGTTTCCCACAAGAGTTAATTTCTGATCTGATCGCCATTTGTCAGCTGAAACATTCCTGGGTATGTAAATGGGTATTAATGAGTTTAATGATTGGGCCAAAAGTCTTGAATGAGGAACAAATTCTTCTGACAATTTTTTGAACGGAACATCATAGTCCATTATCATGCTACCTAATCTAGGAAAGCTCTGATCAGGAGAGCCATGAACTATTTCATAAGCTGCATTGAACAGTCCTAAAACTGCTTTTCGGTCTTCCACACGAGATAATAAAACCATGAGGGATACATAAGTAGTTACAAGATCCAAGTAGTGCTTAGTCAACTCAAAATTTACTGTTATATCCAAGTCCACTTGGAATGCATCCATGCTTGTTAAGAGTTCACAGACATGATCCTTGAAATCCAGCAAGTCCACAAAAGTATAATAATACAAAGAAAGAGACTTGATTATTTCGTTTCTCAAATTTTGTATGGGAGCCAGACTTTTAACATCAATACTTGGAAATCTTCTCACAATGCTCTTGATTGACGATTCCAAATTTTTGTCAGACAGGAATCCGGGTTTGGACTTGGCATCTCCACAAGCTTTCTTGATATTATATATTCTTGTCAGCATGCCCGTTCCTCGATCGTTGAGGATAATTAGTTTTTCGGAAAGTTTCCGTTCATTTTGATTCATTTGACGAGACATGGTTATTTTTCTAGTAATATCAGATGATAACGTTTATTGTTTTCCTGGAAATAGAAGCGAGTAAGCATTACGTTATAGTTATATCAGTGAAATAACTCACATATTACTCAAAAACTACATAAATCGAGAAACCTAATAAACCAAAATACATCCTTTTCTCTCATTTTAATAAACATTCATCAGAAACACCCTTTCACAATAACCCCAAATTGCATTGACATAGACATCTGACAAACAATTCTTTGTGAAAATGTCATAACCACAGAATTGAAAATGTCATAACCACAGAATTGAAGTTGTCATATTATTACTCTGAGTTTTACAGCCAATTAACAGAACATGAAACTACGAGGGCGCTATAATGATGATTAAAAGTTAAATATACTCAGGGTTCGTATATGGCGTATCCTGAAATATACCTATATTTTGTGTACTTTACCCAGCTGATAAAAACTCTAAAAATCGTTATCACTTTTCAGTTTTCCTGAATTGACGAAATTTTGGGACTGAAGTAGTAATAGTGTTTTCCATTGCATATTTCATGTTCCATTGTTAAAACTGGTATTAATACGCATGTTCCAATGGAAAATAATAAGTTTCTGAAATGATGGAATTTCAGAAAAAGTATAGACACAGCTTTTAAGATGATAGATAAATTTGGCTACATTTTCTGTTGGGAAAATCAAAATCAACTTCAACGTAAGTGGTCTCACATACAATTGATACCTATTAACTTGAATTTATATTTGACATTTTAATTATATGCCAGTAATTTTGGTGATATATATTTTTCTTTTCGAATTTCTTGTGCATTCTAAGTTGATACTATAATTATACCTTCAACAATGATAAAACAATGATAGATGCATGAAAAGTAGCTTGAAATATTTTTAGATGAGAACAAGTGGTAGATCAATCATCAATGTGAATCAGCGCAGTGGTAGTGCGCCCGACTTATAATGAAAAAGTTATGAGTTCGATCCCCACTTCGACCAGATATTTTTGTCGAGATAATTTATATCTAGTTGTAGTTGAGATGATTCTGCATCTTTACACTGCTGATGGATTGCGAATAGCTATGATGCTGCCTGGGGCTCGGGAAGTTATTAACACTGCCCACCCAGGATATGAGATTAATGACCAAAGTAGTCGATGCTGTTGACACAAAAAAATATCTATGTCTTTTTATTCTTTGTGCTGGATTTTTTTCCTTAAAAATAATTTCTCTTAATCTATCACTTCAAAACGTGTAAAGACGTGAAAAGACACGCCTGAAGAAGCTATTGTTTAGCGAAACACGTGTTGTGTTTTTGTAAAACTGTTTAGTGAAAATCTCACAATGACACCAGAAGAAGCTATTTTGTATAGCGAAACACGTGTTGCGTTTTTATGAAACTGTTAAGTGATAATTTCGCAATAAAGTGTTTTTTGAATACACATCGTTGTTGTCATTGTAAATATGAAAATCTTGGTAGTTATGGATTTAATAAATGCAGTTGCATTTGATTTGCTGCTGATAAATTATCCCCTGAAATAAAAAGAATAATGTCAGTCGCCGCCGGTCTTTGTCAATCGATTGTGATTTGGCTAGGTCACGTTCAACTCGACTTGCGCTTTGCGATCGTTCTAGATGTCGCGTCTTTTCGCAAGACTTCCGGATACTTCCCTATCGGCTATCCACTACCAAGTGAAGTCTAGTTGAAAGTGCGATACGAAGTGATCATTAAGGTGATATACTTTTGACTACTAGTGTGAAGTTTCAGTCAAAGTGTTTGTGTTGTACTGTCAGTGCAGCAGTGAAATAAATTTGAGTTCATTTGTATAGTGTAGTCAATTATTGTCAAACACACGGGGAAAACGTAACATTTGGTGTCTGATGTGAAATAATTGACTGAAACTTTTCTGTTTTATGGTGAAGACAAGTCGTATCGTTTCCGACGGGATGGTTGTGAAAAATAATGGGTGAAAAATTAGGAGAAAGCAACAGTTCTTATACTGGCACTACGAGAAAAGGCCTCAGAAATTCTGCAAAATATTCCAGTAAATGAGCAGAAGGATAATGAAATAGTCGTATCAGTTTTGGAGGGAAGGTGTGGTAGTGAGCACCTTCAACAAGTCTACCAGCTCAAGTGAAGATGAGAACTCAAGGTCCATTCGGGAGTCTGCAGGAGTTTGGGGTTAAAGTCGAAAGGTTTGAGAAATATTTGATGAATGGTACTGCACTCAGGGCAAGAGTAATCACCAGGGCCTTTTCATCGTCGATACTGGAGCAACGAGGTCAGTAATGAGAGCCAACATTTCCATCAGAAGCAGTTTGAAGAGGTTATCAGCAGTCCTTGTTCTGGAAACAGCCACTAGAGATAGACTGACGGTCTATGGAGAAGCTGAAGTAAGACTTAGGCTTGGAAATTGCGAAATAGACACTAAGGTATCACTGGGACTAAACATCATGTCCTTCTACGGATTCATGGTGGACATAAGGAACAAACTGTTGAAAGTTGGAAATACTGAAAGACTCCAGAATCTCTCCCAACATCGAGAAAATAATTCAAGTGGTGATTGCTAGACCTGGCGGCTTGGGCACAGCATTGGTTCTGGAGCAGACATTTTCGTGGTCAGATCTCTCGTGAATGGTGACAATCAGACCATTCCAGCAAGAATAATCAACCCTTATCAGAACAAGGTCTTTCAAGGAAGGACAAATAATAGGCACATGCGAACCGATTATGAAAATTGCCAGAATGGAGTCCCTCTGCAGCGTGCTCAACAACTCGTCAAGGAACTCATCGACTCACTCAGGGAAACGTGAAGCCATCTGTCTGAAGAAGAATTTTGCGAGGCTACCCGATTCGTAGAGGAAGAGAACGATATGTTTGTGAGAGGCAAACGGATTTAGTACGACATTGGATTAATACTGACGTTGCCAAGCTTATCCGCCAAACACCGAGACGACTTCCCTTCGCAGAACAGGATGAAGCTTCATCCATCGTTAAGGGCATGTTAGAGAAAGGAGTAATCGAGAAATCGATCAGCCCTTGGTCGACAACCTGTTGTGTTGGTGACTTAGAAAGATGGATCGACGAGATTCTGCGTATACTACAGGATGCTCAATGATGTCACTAGAAAGGACAGTTACCCTCTCCCCAGAATGGAAAATACTCTGGACATCTTGGCATCTTGGTGCATACTGGAAAACCTTGAAGATACCGTCAGAAAAAAAATACGATGAACTGCCTAAACACAGGCTCAGAATAATTGCAGGTCTACTCAATGGAACTTGTCCAGTTAGAAAAATATGGAGTATTTATGTGTGACCCAAATTACGCCAAGAAAATGTAAACCTGCATAAAGTAGTACAGGAAACAAAAGTGTTGGGATGGGTGTCATGAAAAAATGGGAGGAAAATGCAACAAGCTCATGAGGCTGTAGTGTTTTGTGAACACTATGAAGGAATAGTCATGCGGTCCAAGCAGCAAAAAAGCCCCGAACTGTGGTGATTCGAGAATATTGTTTGAGTTGATTGCTCTCAACTCCCTCTTCAATGTCCGAGAAAACGATGTAAATAGAAGTTTTTTTCTAAAAAGAAGTTAGTGTCTGTATTAGAAATCGACTGAGTGATGAACAAATTTTACTCTTCACCTCTTAAAAACAACGAACGATACCTGTTGCCATTTTTTTTAATTTGAAAAATATTTCTTTATATCTATTGAATAATTAATTTTGTTTGTTCCTTGTACTCAGTGTGTAAAAGCCAACTGGAATAAATTCATTATTTCAGTTACTGTACATATTTAAAAAAAATCCCGAAACACGTCAAATGTAAATTATAATTTGACATTTTTCTACGTAAAAATGCCAAAATGCCTATCTTCAATCCCCTTCGAATGACAGGTACAACCCCCAATTTTTTTAAATGGGGGGTTTGTGATATATAGTTTGTAAGGTCTCTTCATTCTCTATTCAAAAATGTTATCGCTATCAAGTTTATTGTAACCATTGAGATACAATAAATTGAAATCATGTGGTTACCCAAATTCGATAAAATGCACTCACAAACTAAAATGTAATGCTAAACGTAATGAAATGTAGAATACGAAAACTATGGATGTTATCGAAGTGGATGTTCAAAATGTTCACCACGAACGTCTTGGCAACATCCTAATCTCAAATAAAACTGTCTTCTAACATTATTTAACATATCAGGCGTGACCGACCTAATCGCAAGCGTTATTCGTCATTCAAATCTGTAGGTTTAGTTTTGCACACATTGCTCTTTACACATCCCCATAAAATAAATCTAATGATGAAAGATCAGGTGATCGCGCTGGCCACCCAATCGATCCTCGCGTCCCTATCCACCGATTGGGAAATGTTGTATCGAGGTATTGCCATACATTAACTCGTTAATGTGGTGGCTCCATCCTGCTGAACCCATATCGTATTCTCTGGAACTTGAGGGTTTCCTGGATCAGGATATAAATTTGCTAAACTTGAAATGACATCATTTTGAAGTAGTATCAAATAATTATCGCCATTCAAGTTGCCCTCAGGATATAAATTTGCTAAACTTGGAATATCATTTTGAAGTAGTGCCAAATAATTATCGCCATTCAAGTTGTCCTCAATGAAAAAGGGACCAATTGTATGGTTTCCTACAATCCCTGGCCAAACATTAACCTTTTGAGAGTATTGCGTTACATTGCTATATGAAAAGAGAAATGAAAATTTCTATGTTTTTTACCACTTTTATTTGTAACTAACGTACTGCAGTTTCGTCCTATATGGATATTTTCAAACTTAAACAATAAGTTTAATAATAAGTGAGTTTATGTTTGAGTTTGAAAATGTCCATATAGGACGAAACTGCAGTAACGTTAGTTACAAATAAAAGTGGTAAATAACATAGAAATTTTCTTTTCTCTTTTCATCATGATCTCCTACCACATAGTAACGGCTACATCCATCAATTTATTAACATTGCTATAGTTTTTGCTTACTTTCTTATTATCAATACCTCAACATGAAATAAGTTTTGAGTATATTGCAATGAGTTTTGAGTGTATTTTATCGAATTTCGGTAACACATGATATTAATTTGTTTTATCTTAACTGTTGCAATAAACTTGAAAGCGATCACATTTTTGAATAGAGAATGAAGAGACTTATACTTCCCATATGAAAAAATTGTGAGTTGTACCTGTCATTCGACGGGGGTTGAAGG